AAAAAACAATACCGAAAAACATGGCTGAAATAAATTCCGGGATTATCCACGCAAAAAATATATGAAAGGAAACGCGTGTGCCCCAAAATTGGTAAAATCATATAGCCTCTTTAATTTGGAGCTGGCGCCAGTCTATATACGTTATATTTATGACATTTTACGATTTCTGCGAATCGACATCATCAAATCGACATTTGCGTTTTTAATATTTTCGCTGCGAATTAACGCTCTTTTGGCGAAAGGTTAAGGCCAAGGCGAAAAGGTTAATGTGTTTCTAAATGCCTTGCTAATTAACGTGCGGGTTTTGCACTAACAAAGGGATTCTCCTCCGTTGATTTTGGTAAGTAAAATGATTTGATTGCAAACAAGTTAGAGAAGTTTTCCCTGAAGTAGGTCAGTTTCAAACGCGTATCTCATATGTGGAACATCATGAGTGCCAGTGAGTGAGAGTTTCAACTAAATACAAAAAAGATTTCCAAGAGATACATATGTATATGCACATTCCGCTAGTTTCTAAAATTTTAGATTGATCTCGTTTGAAATTTGTTCGTTTTTAGTTACTAAGTAAGCACTAATATGGAATTTATAATTAAACAGCTTTTTGATGAAAGGTTGCAGACGACTACATTTTTGAAGTGGATAAATATTGGGTATTTAGTCTGTACTGCATAAATACTTTTAAAAATAACCACACATTTCGTTGCCAAAACAAAAATATTTCTAGGAAAACACGTCTGTAACATTGTTTGCTTTAGTTGCTAACTTTTCTAGGCTTGAGTAGCAACTACGTACGCTAATTATAATTCGTAAGAAAGTTGTGTTCAAATTTGACCAAGCGACATCTCCGCCTGTCCAAAAATAAGACATTTCCCAGTTCGCATCTAAATATGTGGTAATATACACCTCCAGCAACAGCCATTAGCCTACTAGTCGCTTCATTACAAGGCCATTAAGGCAAAGATGCCACCAGACCGCGATGATCATGGTGATGCTAATGCAGATGGGACAAGCAAATATTTTGATCGGCGTTTGTAATTTGATGCGCAATAAATCGCCGTTTCCCACCTACAAACAGAAACAGAGGCGGGTGAAAATACACACATTCGAATGTATCAAAGCATCGAAAGTAACAATAGGCCGATGTTAGAGCCAAACATTTTCATTAGCCGGACAACGCATGACACCCACAACTACCATGCTGTTTGCACGCTCATAAGAAGCGGGCTCATAATTCATTGGGCCAATAGAGCCAGGCAGCGGCAGCTGCTGCGGGCCAAGAAAAAATGCCTAAAAGGCTGAATGAAATATTCGGGGCTTTGCGTTAACAATTTTCGCACAAGTGCGAAGTGCCACAGCCAACGACACCGGATTATAAAATCTCTGCTCGCTTATAAATATAAATACCCCACTAACCGAAAACCAAAAGCACGAAAGCCGAATAAATCCGAGCTGACGAATTTCGCGCTGATACTTAACTCAAATTTGCACGTGTCCCCAAAAAAACAAGACTCTGACATGCATTCCTCTCCTAATTAGTGAACTCTGATCACCGCCATGGGAACTTACGCGAAAATTATTGGCAGTTGAGCTAATTAGCACCACAAGCAAATTTAGTGATGTACAAGATTTTTGGTGCTTTTTCAAAAAAACATAAGATAAAATAAGGTGGAAAGAGGTTAAAAAACGTTGGCTTTCCAAACGCTAGCCCTGATCTTTCAGCATCGGAAAACGCCCCCACCTGGCAAACTAATCAACTCAGCTTGAGGTGCGACCGCATGTAGCAACTGGCCCATCCTGTTAGCCAAGTTAACCAAGTTCAGGAGCCAATGGCCATATGAATGGCAATCGGCTGGCAGTCTATGCGGGGCAATCGAGTGAGAAAATTAAAATTACATGACCGTGGTTTCGACTGCGGATGCAGGGATCCCACATTAAAAGGTTCATAACTTCCAAGTCAATTACGCGATGCGCCCGCTGCGAGACTCTCGCCTGAGAATATCCGATGGATACTGCATTCTGGGATTCCTGGGACCTGGGACGTGAATTAGAAAAATTGCACACTCAAGTGGAAGAGAGGACCTCTGGTCTGGTATTGGTCCAGTCTGTTGCCTTGCCTTCTGTGCTTTCTGACTGACTGACTGACATAACTCACGAGTGGCAGACGCAGCAGCAGACGCAGATACTGATGCAAGCAAACACAGATACGGCCTCCGCATTTAACCGCTGCTCCGTTGCAGGTGAACTAGACAAGCAGGAGCAGATCCTCAAGAGCACTCCACAAATAAAAGGGACTACTGTGGGAATCATGCCGATCTGGCCAGAACCAAACAGAACCAAACAGAACAGCGCTCGCCATCAGCGAATTAATTTGTGACGCGCGCTCTCCAAGGAGCTCCTCCGGCCGCCCCTCTTGGCCAAAATACTCAGGGATCCACACTGCGCAGCCAGCCCATGCCCATCTTCATATTCAGCCAACCCAGTCCAGTTCCAGATTGCCAGTTGCAGTCGAGGAGCCATGGCCTGGAGGCAATTTACTCTCTTCGCTCGGCGGTGCACGCTGTGGTAGCCAAACTCGTGACTGCAACAATGCACAGTGGTCTGTGTTGAATGTTAACTGCCATTCAAAATAACTGGATAAATTATATATATCATTTACAAAATGCTTTATAATGAAATACAGCCACACTTGAAAATATAAATCAAATGATCCAACTAAGATTTTTTAAGTCACGTGTCAGAAATTAAAACAATCTTTTAAATATTTCTTATATCATACAGGTATGTTACCTTATTTATCATACCTGCATATATTTTCTAACCGAACTAATTTCTAATTTCTAATTTTTGTTATTAACCAATGGACTTACTGTAGTATGGAAGTAAGTTTTGACATGATTTTAAAACCTTGGAAATTAATTTTAACATAATGTTTATGCCATATTTGAGCGATCTCTAACTACTGTGCATCGCTGTGCTCGTCTTCGTCATCGTCGTGTGGCAAGTGGCTGCTGCTTGACTGCAGTTGCAGTTTTGGCCTCCGCTGGAGCTTCAACTGCTTGAGCTGCTCCCGCTGCTGCCCCTCTGGGCCGCAGCCTCCTGGAGTCGCCTCCTTCTTCTGCGTCGCCTTTTTGGGGGCATCATCTTGGCGGCTTTGGCGCTGGTGTCAAACGTTTTGTAATCTGTCACGTCGCATCGTTTTAATATTTGCGCGCTCATGGCCCAAGTACGAGGAAATGCACTCGGTTGCGTGTAAAAATAGGCGTAACCCTTTGGTATTTATGGTCTGGCCGGCTGGATGAGCCGACTATACAGAATCTGCCACAGTCTGCAGTCTGCAGTCTGCATCTGCACTGGAGCACAGTGGAGCATCCGCGACGGCGCTCCCCGATCGTTTTGTTTGGTTTTCAGCAGCAGAATCAGATGCCTTTGGGGTCTCTCGGTGGTAGCAACAGGTTCAAGTGCTTCGCACTGCACTTGGTCTGGGTTTCAGGCCCAGCTCCTTGGGTTTCTGCCACTCTTTGATTATCTAAATCATTATTAGTTTGACCTTCAGCCCCGGGCTGGTTCTGCGCTCGTGCAACCGCTCCTCTTATCTTATTAATTATTTGCTCTTTATTGCCAGTGGAATGGGTCGGTGGACTACTGTGCGTATGAGTCATCTTAGAAATGGCGATGGGTAAACAACTGGAAACTGAGAAAGTTGCTGGATGGGGAAGAAATACTTCAATGAATACTTTATTTGAAAACGTTTCCGTTTTTATGTAAGAGGTTTTAATTAGGAATTAGCTAGATAATCAAATGAAATGCAGACTGAATTTATATCTTATATATTTTATAAATAGTACAAAGTATTTCTTTTGTAGTATGAACATAGGGCTTTCGTAATTTTTTCTGTGTAGTTATGCTCACACAATTTAAAGTGAGAAACAAGAATTGCTCCCCATTCTTGTTGAACGTCAGAACGGGGAAATCAACTGGCTGACAGCTTGTTATCCCCAAAAAGCCTTCACCTTGTTCCGTTATAATTAGCCATCGCTAATTGCCACTTTCGCAAAGACCACCCGTACATTGACCCACTGAACGGGCTCATTCAAATGCGATTCCCACCGTGGGTCCGTGGGCCATTCGGCACGCATCTCAGCGCGTCAATTAGCCAACCCTACTCAAGGGCCATAACCACGTCGGTCATGCGGATCCCGAAGATACAGTAGTTAGCCATTGCAATGGCTGACAACCGTTAATCAGGCGCCACAAATCAGAAGAGAGCAGCATATGCACACATGGGGGATTTGGGAATTGGCCCCTCCAGCGTTCTGATTGGATTGGGCGCCAGAATGTATCTGCTATATTTAGATAGCGAGAAAATGGCGATGCAGACTGCGTGATTTTCCGTTCACTCGTTGGATCCGGAATGGCAGCCGCTTCCCATGACTGCTCCTTTGTACCTGCGCGAAAATATTGACACGATCCGCACAGATATTGCACATTATTGCGCATTAGAATGGATAAGCTAAATATACTCGTAAATACCAGTAAATCATTGTGTACCAGCAAAGTGGCCCAATTGCCGCGGATTGCCGCGGATTGCCGCGGATTGGCGAGGATGCGTGGGTGGGATCGTGTTGGAGTGTTAATTGGCCCAGACTCAATCGGGCGGAATGGAATGGAATATTTATGAGATTGGGCAATCGATTAGACAAAGTCCATCCATGTATATTCATATCAATCGTCGGTGCTAATTGATTTCGAGACTGCGAAAAGAACTGGACAAAGGCGGAAGTGATATCGTGACTGCTGATAAATGGAATCTCAGCAGATGTAAGCATATCATCAGAGGTGTAACTTTATGCGGAATATACTTTAGGAGCGGTAAAAATAAAGTACTATATGTGCTGTATCAAGTAATCGAAACTTATTACATCACCAAACAAATTCTACATCTTTCTTTATATATCCTAATCTAAGCTTTCAAGTATTTGTACTCTCTATATATCTTTCAGATGATCCTCCGGCATTCTACCAATCTTCTGAACCTTCTACTATTTCTTGCTATCTCTTCTACAAGGACTCAAGTTCTTAACGATATAATTATAGAACTAAACCAACGCCTGCTAGTCTCCAATAACTTTTTGTATTGCAACCAATCCGATAAACTAAATGAATACGAGACCAAGTTTCTAAAACACATGGCACCAATAAGCCTGATGATCTTTACTTCAATTGAATCCCTAAATTTCACACAAGTTGAATATGATTTTGGTGCTGATAACAAAATCTTTTTGATTATGAGCAAGGACGAACCACCCTATGAATTCTTTCAGGCCTTAAACTTACATTTTCAGTTTGCTGAGTATATAATTGTGATCGATGAACCCCTTGATCTGAAACTGAGCGCCAAATGGTTGGATTTTGTGAATCACCTTTGGCACCAAGGATACGTTCAGCTGCTTTTCTATACCGCGTTCGATGAAAAATTGTATCACAAAATCATATTACCCGACACCATGATAGTGGAGACATCGGTAGAGGACTATATATCTTTTCGAGGATCGTTCAAGAATCTGCATGGCTATCCGGTTAGGGTTGCGGCCTATAATAATGCGCCACGCTCTATGCTGTATTTAAATCACTGGGGCCATCAGATATTTGGTGGCTTTTACATGAGGTTCATCCGAGCCTTCATAGCCTCAAAGAATGGCAGCTTTGTGCCAGTGCTCACCCCAAGTGATTCTCCCGGGAACTGCACATTGAATTTGATCAACGAAACCGTGGATGTGTGTGCAGATGCCCTGGCCGCGAATCCCGAAGCATTTAGCCTGACCCATGGATTCAGGATTGCCTCGGCGAATGTTCTGGTGACCCATGCGAAGCCCCTTCACTCCTACCGCTATCTAACCGCTCCATTTCAATGGAGTGTATGGGCCTGTTTGGTCATCTATGTGCTGCTGGTGGTGAATTTCCTGGCCTTTATTGGATGGCTGCGAAGTGGAAAGTGGGACTTTAGTAAGCATCTGCTCGAGGTATTCAGCTCACTTTTATTCAGTGGCTTCTACCTGAAGGAAATCCGAGGTAGGGAGAAGTACATACTCTTTGGAGTGCTGTTCATAGCCGGATTTGTCTACTCCACGGAGTATTTGGGCCTACTCAAGAGTATGTTGATCTCGGAGGTTTTCGAGAAGCAGATTGATACCTTTGAGGCGCTGGTGGAGAGTAATCTAACCCTGATGGTGGACCCATACGATAAGATGTTATTCACCAAGTACAATATGCCCGAGATACTGTCCCCCATTATGGAGCTGGTCAGTTTTGAGACACTCTTGGAGCACAGAAATCACTTCGATCAGGACTACGCGTATATACTGTTCTCGGATCGAATGGCGCTGTACGACTATGCGCAGCAGTTCCTGAAGCATCCGAAGCTGCTGAGAATCCCCATCGACTTCTCGTTCCTCTACACTGGCATTCCGATGCGGAAGAGATGGTTTATGAAGCACCATCTGGGACGGGCCTGGTACTGGGCCTTCGAGAGTGGTCTTACGAGGAAACTGGCCTTGGACGCCGACTTCGAGGCGATTCGCGTGGGCTATCTAAGCTTCCTCTTCACGGAGCATGTGGAGGCCCAGCCGCTGAATGTGGATTATTTTGTCATGCCGGCAATTGCTCTGGCCATCGGCTACATCCTGGCCCTTTTCAGTTTTGTCATCGAGATGACGGCCTGGCGCATAAGGGAATTCCTGGGATGCAAGAAGGCGGCGATGACGAGTACCGGTTGTCCAGGAGGCGGTCATGTTGATGTTGATTGAGTGACGGATTGATGTTGTGATGTCTGCTTCGCAAGCTGTTTTCTACATTCTTCTTGTTGTAAAGTGTTCACAAAAAAGCGCTACCTGTCCTTGTACGCTATAAATACAAAAAGCCTAGCTAAAGATGCCCTAATATAAGTGGTACCACACTGTCACGAAGGTTCCTAAAACATAATTATCTTTAATTTGTAATATTATGTTAGTTAGTAAGATTTGCTTAAAAACTGTTAACATAACAATATAAAATAAAAATATATCTTATTAAATACTGCCTAGTATTTCCATATAATATGTTTTGTTTCCATTACAGATGATTTGCTTCCCTACTGATGCATCTTGTGATTACTAAAACAAATTTCACAACTGGAAAAAGTTTACCTAATATTTTAAATGAGCCTAGCCACTAATATTTTTATTTCATGCAAGCATTTTGATAACCTAATAGCTTTTGAAGCACTCACATCGAGATTGGAATTTATGAGTTATCCAAAAACATGTCTAAACCAGGTAAAAATCTAGTGACGCACCCTTCCTCTGCAAAATATCCGATTTAAAATACGTGAAGCATTTACTATTTATACAGCATGATGCAGAAAATAATGCAACATAAGATGTATTTTAGAAATAAAATATAATACATTTTATTTTGTAATGTTAGGGCATTACTTTTAAAGGCTGTATTGGATCCCAGCAAAATATATACCGATACACGTTGCACATTACACAGTAAATGGTGTACAGAACCAAAAAGACGCGTAAGAATTGAGATCAAACCTTATCTGAGCAATTTTCCTTGCAGCCTGAGGCAGTATCCCAAATTCACCCACAGACCGGCAATGTGAAAACCACCCTGTGGCCTGGAACCCTTCGAAATATATAGCACTTGAGATATTTCCAAAACATTTGCCAGCCAAGTCCCTAAGCAATTTGCACAGCCCATTGTATGCAGTCCGAATGATAACAGAAAAATAAGAATCCGGCCAAGAAGTAAGGGGTGACTGTCCAAAAATTGAGCTGACTTGCGCAAATATTTGCGAAAATGGAATTTTCGGGTCAAGTCGGTGCGGTGTGGGTAGATACCGCCCCTTTGGGTGGATGGATTTGGATTTTAAAGTTCGTTGACACCCACGCCTGCCACGTTTTTTTCGTGTGTCTTGTCGCTGTGGCGCCATTAAGTATGCAGCAGCAATGTGGCGACAATAAAGTTTATGCCTCGGCGCCATGGCCAAAAGCAGCAGGAGTTGCAATAGCCAAGGATAAATGGGATGGCCTGGAATGCACTCAGTGGGAGTTTCAACTGGAGATAAGTCGGTCGATCTGGGACACCATCGTCAGCTTATCCCAAATCTGCACTTTCAGAAAATTGTTCCAGTGAAGCAGAAACATATATTTACTAAACTTTGCCTACCTGGATTTGGACAAAAGAATAACTGAGCAAAATAGCTTAGTAGGTTCGTAATGAAGAATGTATATAATGCACATGAATATTTTAAGCAGAAAATAAGCGCATGCCAGATACAAATAAATATGTTTAAATTATGCGTAATTCGTGTATACACATTAGATGGGAATTAATGAGTACAAAAAGAACAAACCTATTTCCACAAACTTTGAGTCATTGTTTTCACTGTGTGGCACAGTTCCCAGACAATGGAGTTGCCAACCAGCTTATGTACATCCCGGCTTGTAGGACTCCTCTTAATGAGTGGGAGGGTCATGTGCGTGCCTCGCATCCATATCGCAAAAATCAACGATAAACTCTCGCCCTTCAGCCGCTTTAATTGCACAATTCGTGGGTTTTCAACGCGCCTCGAATCGAATCGAATCGAATCGAACTGAATCGAACTGAATCGATTTCGTGATTGCGCGATCCGTATCTGCTTTAAAGTAAACATTTGTTTTAATCTGGGGGCGGCTTTTAATTAAGATTGCGTACGGCGATAAATGGCAAGTGTTGCAGGAGTTCCCGGCCATCGCGTTTCGATTGAGGCTAAGTAAAAGGGGATTTCACTGATTTTATTTTATACTACCTATACTCGTATATATATTTTTTTTCTACCTAAAGTATATACATGCTATAGCATATGTTTCTAATAACTGGTTTTAAGTGTTGGTAAGAAAACCTTCATTTAAAGCTTACTGACTTCAATCCTGGTAGCATTGAACCACCTTCTTTCACCTGTTACGTCATTTTCCGACGAGCCATTCAATCCGTCAACTCTTTTATCAGCCGGACAGGGCGACACCGTAAATCACCTGGGAGGCAGACAAAAGGCCATCGGAAACAATTGAGAGCTCGGACTGGACCGTCATTGATACCAATATCTGATGGACTCTATGGTTGCTGCAGCAGCTTTTGGTTTTTTGCCGGCTAATTGAAATGGCCAGGTAATTGTCGTTGATTCCAGCAGTCTGCATTGGTTGCACAGTTAAACACTATTATTTAAATCAATGCCTCGCGCTTCCTTTTTTTCGCCGCATCGCCACATATGAGATGGCAATTTATGGGCCATGCCTAATTGTCCGCACCGAACTTCAAAGTGGCTTCGCTCCTCGATCTTGGCCAAGTCCGAGGAATGCAATTATCGCGCTCCAAGTTATGCTAAGATAAATGGCCGCAAGTCCGGCACAGTCGGTGGAAATTGGCAACACTTTCCAGTCGTCTTTCCCTTCGCGGTCATAAACTAAACAAAACGAACGAGAGAAATATGAAAAAATGTGTGCTCTTGTTGGAGGAGCAAAAGGTAAAAAAAAAAGATAAGCCGCACACGCAACTGACAATTGGCCATTTTTGGTTGATTCAGCAATTTATGGCAGCAGAGGGGCGGGGGTGTGTCACTGGGCCCAAGTCGTCGGCATGACCAAAAGACCCACATAATAATCACGGGCATAAACCTATATAGAGGAGGCATATTCTTTTTTTAAGTTTTGGTCTTTGATTTTGGATGTTGGTGAACCAACAACCACCAAGGTGAAAAAAAACAGAAAAATTACTAAGGTTAAAAAGCTGAAAATTACTATAACCTTAAAGCTGAGGTCTTGCATTGGCTTTCAATGTTATTTATTTATCATATTTAGGTATTGGATTGGATATGTAGAGTTTTCAATGTAAGTGTACACATATTTCAAACATAAACATATTTGTTGGCCCAAACGAAAAGTTATTAGGCATATTTAGTTAAAAAGAAAACCAAATTAGCTTCAAAAATCAAAAGCTTCATCATCAATTTTCTGTTTGTCCCCAATCAACTGAAGATATTTCCAAGAAAGAGCCTCCTGCAGACATTAATCGAATAAAGATCTTTGGACATCGCCTGGGGCATTTGATGGCACTTTCGCTGGATGCCATTTGGCCACGTCTTTGGGTCAGTCAGATGCTAAGGATGCTAAAAATAAAGAGCAAGTAAAGGTAGCAAGCGAGCAACCGCGAAATGAAACGCTGTCCAATTAAGCGCAACAAACAACTTTACGCCACATGCCACACAACAGGCGTTTATCGGGCACACAGATCGCATCCCGACGGATCGATTCGATCCTTGGTTGCCCGGCCACATCCCCATCCTCCTCTCCCAGCCAGTACCGTCAGCCGGCCATTGTAATGGCCAGCGATTTGTCGCTGTCCCAGCCCCAGACCCTGGTCCATAATGACACTCGTTGATCGTGGGGCAGCGATAAGATTGCACAAAGATAAAGCGCCGATATCGGAACCCGAGGGTCGAAATACATAAAGGAGGCGATGGGCGGAGGCGACAGCAGCGGCATTTATGCTAATAAGTTGACATTTGACCACCATGACGAAATAATGAACCGATCAGAAGCCGTCAACGTGACAGGTACTTCAAGGAAGCAGTACCATGGGCTAGGTATCCCAGGACTGAGGTATAACTGGTATATTGCTAGTAATTCAATTATTATGTCTTTGCATCGATTTCCCATGCTAAACGAGATGATACCTCTATTTCTTAAACGTATAAACAAGATTTTGATTATAATGTTCTTTTCTTTAATTACTATTCGCCAGTTCATAGGTAGAATTTCTTTGCTATCGGCCACCGATTAAGCCCACTGTGCTTATTAAGCGCTTTGCCGGACAATCTGGACATTTGTTTTGACACAGGAGCAGACCCGCCGGCACCGCTGGCCATGATGATCACTAATTTCCTGGAATTTCACGCGCTCTCCTCGCTTATCGAGATGCAAATTTTTCTCAGCTTTTATTGTATCTTCACACGATCTGAGCCGACCGCTTGTTAACTACCATCATGTGGTCTCAAATGAATTTTAATTGTCGTACTTGTAGTTGCAGGTAATTAGCAATAATTTACAAATCGCTCATCACACCATTGGAAATTTATTACACTCAAGTGGGGGTTTTCTATAAAATTAAAATATTAAATGCAACCAAGCGGCTACTCTTGATTTCTTCTACTTTGATTTCTTTCGCTGTAGTTTCTGTCGCTGCAGATTCTTTCGCTGTAGTTTCTGTCGCTGAAGATTCTTTCGCTGTAGTTTCTGCTCCTGTGATAGTTTTGATCATGGCGTATCCAGCTCGGCTGATAGCCTCCTCCTGATCGGTTCCCTTGAGTCCTATCCTGCCGTCCTTCTCGATCCTGTCCATAGCTACGGGAATCAATCTTTTGGAACCAGCGGTTGTCTCTCCGATGGTCGTGGTGCTCCTGGTAGGATTCCCGTTTCCATCCCACAGTTTGTGAGGTCAAGCGATCAAGTCTTCTGCAAGTCCTTTTGATGAATTTTACAATATTGGATAAGGTTATATTGGTAAATTATTGGTGAAAATTGGTGAAAATTGGTGAAAGAAGATCAAGAAAACTTTTAATTTAAATAACATACAGAAATGTTTTCTAAAATTTGACATTTGTGTATTCCTTTAAGCTGATATGCATTACTATTAGTGGTTGGATTCCTGATGTACAACTTCTTACCTGTCGTTATGTGTAACCTGCTGACGCCAATCTTCAGACCTATCCGTGGAAGGAGGCTTGCGATTCTCGAGTGTCCTTAGAGAGCTCAAGTAATTTACGCGTTCGATTTGATGACCGCGGGCCGAAGAAAAGGCTGCGAATCACATATACAGTATGCGTGAATAACAAAACTATATTGAAAGAAAGAACTACGAACTTTGTATCGCCTCCTCAGGGGACTTGTTCATTATGGTGATCATGAAGTAGCAGATCAGGTATCCAGTTCGATTTACTCCGTGTGTGCAATGGACTCCAATTAGTTTGTCTGCAAGAAAACAGGAATAGTATTTATTAATTTTCCATATTTTAATGAATAAGTGAATTTCAGCTTCACATGTTAATGCAAATGTTAATAGTTATCTTAAGTAGTTTGTAGTTCAAAACTCTTCTTGGCATCGAAGTCAAGCAAGTTTGGTGATATTTCTTCCCCGTTTAGAGGCAGCACCACAGCCTTTCTGCAGTGCAGCATGTTGCTGCAAATTGCTACAAATTTCATTTCAAACACGGCCACAGGAATGTCCCTCTCCCGAGCTCCAAGCCTCCCAAATCTTGCTCCACGCCCATTTGGTAACACCCACGCGGCGGGACCGCAACAGAGAAAACCGGCCTGGCAATTTGGCATAAAAGCAGAAGCGACCTGGGCTAAATCTAGAAAACAGCGCGCTCTGCCAATAATAACATTGGCTATAAATTTCACAAAAACATGTCAGCAGGAGGGATTCGCAAGCGGTTTCCAGAGGGGCATGGACAACCCACCTGGTCGCGGTGGCCTGCCTTTGTGCACTGTGCGGGTGCTCTTTGGTTTCGGCTTGGCTTTGGCTTGGGCTTTGGCTTTGGCCTGGTTGCTGGACCAGGGATCATTGGCAGCGGGCGAAGCTGCCAGTCAGTCAGTACGTCATGTTTGGTTTGCATTTAAGCCAACTTACAGGCAAAACGAATAACGAAATTAAATTACGAGTACGCACGGCGCATCCTTGTCGATAATACCAAATACAGTGGGATTAACTTAATTTAGTTGACGAAATATTTCAGAATTTCATCGAAACCTAACATTCTTGTTCACAACCATATGATTAATAAAATAAAATAATGCTCAAATAGTTTTGTTTAATATGAAGCGGCTGATTTAAGGTCAAACTGCAGATGATTCCACTGTGCTCTGCGCTGTACCAACGACTGTGCCTTGTTTTCTAGCCCATTGGACGTTGACAAGTTGCGACCACCTCGGATTTGACTTATTTTCCTGATCTGTTTCGTTGTAAATATGTTGGCAGCCTTCGTGTATTTATTTATTGTTGGCTCCACGCGACTTTTCGCGGCGCCAGATCGTGTTTTAATTAAGCCCTAGACGGCAGCAGAATCTGCGAAGGCATCCTGGCCAACATTTTTGCATATTGTAAGCCAAATTGGTTCGCACATACATTAGCGCAAGATGAAAGTGCCTGCAAAACATAGGTCTTATCCGCTCCCACTTCATCGAAAGAATGTGCAGCACACAGACGTTTGATACCCTAAAAACCTATTCTACAATTCATGAATAATTAGATTGGATATTGAAATAGTTGAAGAGTTTTCTTAGAATGTTAGTATATTATTATATATATAATATCCTCTTAATAACTTCAAAGTGAAATGAACCCAAGCTTAGTGTGTAATCAATCTAGACAAGGATTTTTAAGATTCAAAGATATATATTATAGTATCTACGCAAGTCGCAAAGTCTTAACACGAATTTAATTTCTTCCCCGCATTTGTGCATTTGAATTTTAAACATATAAATGAAAAGATGCTTGCCGATGGCCTCGCATGCCTTTGTGCATAATTGGAAATGCCTTTTCCCCACTCGCGGCATGACTAAGCTCCGTGCTCCGTAAGTGATTTGTTTGCCCGGCTCCCGACTGGCAGACAGCCTCAAGCTCGGGCTCAACTCAAAGGCCAAAAAACTGACTGGCTGACTGGCTGATTGAGTGTGTGCGCGCCCACATCGGTGCGCCAGTTGGCTGTTAAAGGGTTAAATAGAGTATTTCTCTTTTCAGGCACTTGGCTGCGAGCACATTTCACCGGTTTGGCCATGTTTGCTCTGTGCTTGCCGGCTGATAGGAATCTTTGGAGGCAGTGCAGCCAGGGATTAGGATACGTGGTAATTGCGGGTGCCCCCTTTGATACGATTTGTTTGCATATTTTGCGGCTCTAATTGCGCGGACAGATATGCATCTGAATCTGCATTGTTGACGGGAAAGCGTTTCCCACGGCAGTGTGCCCATAAGATCATGATGTGTGGGATGATTTGTCAGCACTCACCATTATCCGCATTGCTCTCAAGGAAGTCTGCCACGATGCCACAGAATCTGCAATGACAGAGGAAAGATATTGATCGTTACATAATTTGGAAATATCTTATGGCGAATTAAAATTGGATCGTGCATTTTAACTGTAACTTAATGGTATACATTACATCAATTGTAAATCATATAACAAGGATATTTTATTTTAAAAACAATGCTATGAAAAATGTAGTTCATAACATCACATTTAGTGCCAAAACATCTCAGTATATATAATATATAAATTTACTCCTAAAATAAATTTAATGTGCTCCTATAATACTGGAATTGTTTAAGACTTTAAGCAAAGTGAGCGTTGCATACACCAAAATTACAACATTTTCAATGAAGACCTAATGCTTTGTCCAATTATTAGTTGTTTAAAAGTATAATTACTTTTCAGCTAGATTCCGCTTAGGCGTCTTCTTCCCGGGGATCATCAGCTTCTGGTGACACACATTGTGGTTGGTTAGGGCACTTGGATGGTAGTAGCGATTCGTGTTGGTCAGATCGATGATGAGACCCAGATCGGGGACGGACTCCAGAAGGGACTCGGGCGCCAGGCGGCAGTTCTCCTGCACCCTGGCGTTGACATGCTGCAAAAGATAATAAAAAAGAAGGGAACTGAGCAAATATACGAGGGCATTACAATGGGCGGCTATAGATTGCTCAATTTATGCAAAATGCCCGGCGGGCAGGCAATTAATAAAGGCCGAGGATCCGTGGCGTTATTTAATTAAGCAAAAACAATTTAATTTAACATTCATGTGGGGTCCATGTTCCAGTTGCCACTTTTATGCATAATTACAATGCACAAATTTTCGTCGTCGTCCGTTGTTATTTATATTTTTAGAGGACCGCGCAGTCGGTGGTCCAGATCCTGGGTTTTCAACATCCATCAATTGCCGGCTCTCCTGTCAACCGGTTTGCTTTCTTGGATCTCGGATATGGTGTGGTGCGCCATTGGGCGGGCGGGGAACCACTGTAAGCTCACCTGATTCAGCGGCACCTTGAATGCTATGAAGCGAGTGCCAGGAAGACGATCTCCAATCGGTTTGTATTTCAACCATCTGCAATTGGAGCAAAACAAAATTGATAAGACCAGCGTAAACAGCACTGATTACTTTGGGATCCAATACTTCGGTCCATTATCTATGGACTGCACTCACCTGTCTGGTATGGCTTTGCTCATTTTCTTTGTCTTTCTAATACTTTTACCCCACTTTTAAAACGAAATTTCGAAAATGAATAATAACTAATGCTTATTGAGGTGTTGCCAGATCACGCAAAGGAAACATATGCTTCTGCGTTGACACTGTTAACTAAACTGTGACTGGTCACGGGTCACGATTACTGTTAAAAAGCACTCAGTCGCGCTGAAACTGCAGCAATCACATTCATAATTTCAAGAATGTATTTCATATTGTATATTATAATATAATAATAAATATATTATGTATTTATAATATTATATTTATTAATTCATTTATCGTTAATTTTGTTATACCTATAAAAAATTTATTCTTATTTTATTTTATTGGTAAATAAAATGGAATACGAACTTTCATATATAATTTAATCAATAAGTTGTATGTTTATATTTCTAATTTTTCCATATGATAGTTTTTCACACATTTGAGCTTCAGTGCCTGCTGTTAAAAGTTCACATAGATAACAGACTCCACCTGTAAAGTAACAGCTGTTGTGTATTTGCTAAGAGGTACCAAAAAACGGCAAACGCTTAAATCGGCGGAAACCTTTGGACTTTCTGTGATTTTGTAGCGAAGGTAAGAGTTTTAATTAAATATTAATAGACTTAAATTAATCAAACAACAATTTTCGCGCGCGTGGCCAGCTCCTTCAACCACCCAACAGCCAAAATGTTCGCCAGCAACACGCGTAACCTAATGCGCAGCAGCATCGTAAGTGCAAAATTATTAACCAGATAAAAAGCGCAGGCGCTGATGGCTAAAAATTAAATAACAATGGATTCATTTTCCCATTTGCAGTTGCAGCGATGCAAGAGCACTTTGGTGGTCGCCGAGCACAACAATGAGGCCCTCAACCCGATCACCCTGAACACCATATCCGCGGCCAAGAAGATCGGTGGTGACGTCACAGTTCTGGTGGCAGGCACAAAATGCGGACCCGTAAGTCCCAAGAAGTCTCCCATTAGGGTGGTTCCATTCGCATTCAATCGTGAAATAATCGAACCAAGTTCCGTAGATCTTTGCGATCAGGAATAGATCAAACCGGCAAAAGGTTATATAAACACATCTCGTTTTGTATTGTTTGGAATACTGTGTTTAAGAGACGCGAATTGTTGTAAGCCTTGATTATTTAGTAAACTGCCAAATCTATATGATCCATTTATCTCTTGCAAGTAGCTGAATTCACCAATTAAACTCCGAGTTTATTTTCTTTTACATTTAAACCAACAAGAAACGTAAACAAGATTTTTAAGATAAGGTGACTACATCTTAAGTTCAGTAATATAATTAAGATTTAAGACATTTCAATCGAGAACATCGAACCACCCTGAAACCTCTCCAATGAATATAAGTTTTTGCTGTCGTTGATCATCTTACATAACCACTCTTGTTTTCCAGGCCTCCGAGGCTCTTTCCAAGGTGGATGGTGTTACAAAGGTTCTGGTGGCCGAGAACGCCGCCTTCAACGGTTTCACCGCGGAATCGCTGACCCCATTGGTCCTGGCCGCCCAATCTCAGTTCAAGTTCACTCACATCCTGGCCGGCGCTTCGGCTTTTGGCAAAAACGTGCTGCCGCGCGTGGCGGCCAAACTGGATGTGTCGCCTATTTCGGAGATCATCGATGTTAAGTCGGAGGACACCTTTGTGCGCACTATTTACGCCGGAAATGCCATCCTCACCCTGAAATCCAAGGATGCCGTTAAGGTGATCACTGTGAGGAGCACCAATTTCCCACCAGCAGCCACCAGCGGTGGAAGTGGAGCTGTGGAACAGGCTCCAGCAGGAGACTTCGCCAGCAGCCTGTCTGAATTTGTTTCCCAGGAGCTAACCAAGTCCGATCGCCCTGAGCTGGCCGGAGCCAAGGTTATTGTGTCCGGAGGACGGGGCCTGAAGTCCGGAGATAACTTCAAGCTGCTGTACGATCTGGCCGATAAGTTTGGAGCTGCTGTGGGTGCCTCTCGTGCGGCCGTGGATGCTGGATTTGTGCCTAATGATCTGCAGATCGGCCAGACCGGAAAGATTGTGGCACCCGAGCTGTACATCGCCGTTGGAATCTCAGGCGCCATTCAGCACTTGGCTGGCATGAAGGACTCCAAGACGATTGTGGCCATCAACAAGGATCCCGAAGCCCCCATCTTCCAGGTCGCCGATATTGGCATCGTGGCAGATCTTTTCAAGGCTGTGCCCGAACTAACCGGAAAGTTGTAAGGCGAGAATGTCACGTGTTGTAGTATAAAGATTGTGTACCAATGAATTGATAACTGTTGCATTTATTTGAACTTTTACATAAGTCCGTGGAAGATTTTCCCCTAAATTTTGTAATAAAACAAGCAGAAGACCTATTCTATGTATGTGAAAATTGAAGTCTTATCAGTTGAGTGCAATCGTGCAACTGTTAACATCCACAAAATAATTAAACAAAACCCAGAAGTAGAGACAAAGTAAATTCAAATACGATAAACTGATTACTGAGCATTGCAGATTGTACCTTATCATTTTCGCATCGTATGTTTATTTTTCATGAAGCTTTTATCAAAGCTTTATTAATTAAAGTAGTAATACTAGAAAGCTGATCGAGTTGAAGCAAATTTTAGCTAAAAGCATCAAAAAGCTTTCTAGCCATTTGCAAAACATTTAAAACGTGCGGGATATCGATGATTTAATATTAATTAAGACTTAAATAATTAGTACAAACAACTTTAAAGGATCAATTCGTAAATCGCTGATATATTTTAGGTACAATTAAGTTAAATATAAATCGCACAATCATAAAAACTAGAATTAGGCCAAAAACAACGCCTATGACCAAAGTGGTCCACTCTAAAGGATTCAGGCTGTTGTTAGTGGGTAAAACATGTGTGTTGATGCCGCTCTAAAATGGAAAATAGTGGAGTTAAACCCCTGACACATTAGCAATGACCGGAGAAGCTCACCCAACCACCATTCTCGTTAATCCACGGAACCAGCTCATCTTCGATCACCTCCGAAACGCTCTCCATCAACTTGGGCAGGTATTCCGGATGTCCTTGACGCACACAGTCAACGGACAGCCCACCGGCGATGGCAAACAATGAGATCACCTTGCTCCAGGTGATCTCCACCCGAAAGAGCTCCCGCCCCACGGCGCCCAAAAGCAAGCTCACTGCATCCGGAGTATGGAACTCGCCACCCGGATTCCGGCAAATCTGACGAGCCACTCCGTTGTAAACTCTGGGATGCATGCGCTCCAGCTCATCGCCCAGCTAGTGTAAGGTATGTGAAATTCTAAATATATTCAAATGAAGAGGTTTTATTTTGCTTACCACTTGGACCGCAGGAAACACATCTCGCACAATGCCCATGGAGGTGGAACCCAGTATGCTACGTATGCGCTGCAGTCCCAGCTTTTTATTGAACAAACCGGATCTTCTAAGACGTCTCTTGATATAATGACCGCACAGGCAGCGACCCTTCGAATTCGGGATTATGTTGGGATTAGCTATTATATAAACGAATCCTGGTCTACTAACTCACCTGAGAAATGATATCCTGCGCTGGAATCTGTGCCGCCTTCCAGCCAATCGTATAGGATAGTTTCCTGGTGACGGCATCGCTCACATTGCTTAACCTCCGCCTCGTGGTCTCCTTGGGGCCACCACCCACCTCCAGAAGTGATGCCGAATGGAGGGTGGCTGGAAAACTGAACTTTCTTCGATTCTGAGCCTGCAAGAGGCGCTCACTTTGTGTGTTGGCCATCGGAAATCCGTTGCTGAAATTATCATTATTCGTGGGATACGAGGTGCCGGGCATGTTTCGCTATCGAGATCGTTCGAGATCCTGAGGGAAATCGCTTATAAGTATGGCAAGAGGTGGCAGGACTTAAGTCATATACGAGTATATCAACTCAAGCTGGCTGAGGATCCAGTTTCAGTTTCTAACGATCCCCCACGAAGATTGGCAGAGAGTGTGTTGTTAATTTAATAAATTGCATTCAATTTGGCAAATCTTCCGCTGGGAATCATAACCAGCTGAAAGGAAAACCAGTCCCACAGTTACATCAAAAATAATTGGCTCACTACATAAATGTCATGTTTAGCTGATTGAAGCCCCATAAACGTAGCCCAAAAGCTAGTGAATGAACTCTGAAATCAGTTTACAACTAAAAAGAACTCTTCCCATGTGTAAAAATGCTTTAAAAAAATGTAAGTGCACAGAAGAAAATAAATATATTTTTATGAAATTTTGAGTACATCAAGCAAGTCAAATTTGAATGAATATGGATACAGTATTACCCTCAAAACCTTATAAAAAATTCTATAATCAGCAGATTATTTTAAAGTTCTTCGAAGAATTGTTATTAGATATGTGATTTCCAAATAATTTATTTAGGAATAGTGTCCCCTGTTTAGTTTTCATTATGACGCTCTGCGACGACTGTTTGTTTGAGCCTGCCCAAAATGGGCACATTAACGGACAGATTGTCGGCTCGTTAGGTTTGATTGGCTTCTGGCTAACAGCGATCAGAAATCCGCAATATGGCCAAAATGCTGCTGTGTCGCTGCTGTTGTCATTAGTTGTCCACAAGCGAGATGTCAAATGGCAAGTGATTTGTGGGACAATCCGGCTGGTGCGGCAAGTGAATCGAAGATGGGACTTCGAACCGAACGCGGATCAATGGCTACTGGCTACTTATTCCCCGGAGAGCACTTCGCAATTAGCTTTACATAACCTGACCCACTCAAGGCTCATTCGTGACCAAGGAAAGTCAGTTGGGTACAACAAAGTCGTGTGGCACTTATTTTTTTGGGGGTACCCGACCATTAAAAGTGATAGCTGAGAAAGTGTGAGGTTCCAGAATAATTTGGACTACAATTAATCCAGGCCACGGGAGTCACGCCCAAGCGGCTCAGCCTGGAAGCTTATAAAAACCATATCACTTGCGGCCCAATCAGACAGTTATTGGTCGAAATGTCAACCAAGCGGATCATAGCCCTTTTTGGATTGCTAATTATCCAAAAGAGCCACGCGGATGTGTCACATTTCTTTGCTTCGCCATTGGAACACTACGGGAACTATCTGCATGGCCAAGTGCCTTTCCAACTGGCACTATGGCCTCCGAACCTATATGGTCCCCCGCCGGCCGCACCCACAACTCCTGCCCCAGTGGCTCCTGTGGCTCCAGTGGCCACCACCGAATTCAGTCTGCCGGAGATCATCGAGAACCGCAGTGTGAAGATTCAGGGATCTGGGCATGGCAACTTTATACCTCTGAGCCAGCAATATCTACCGCCAGCTGTGGACGAGCGACCCAACTATGAAAGCCCTAAGCCAAGGTGGGTTCCAAATCTCACAGATACACCGTTCAGATCCTTAATGATTTGTACTGCGAGCCATTTAATCATGCATTACTTTTCTTAGCGAGGAGACATATCCAGCTTACTACTATCCGCAACCTGGAGGCAGCATCATTACCACCGCCACACCAACCACTACCACTACTTCGAGACCCATCATTGTGCAAGATCCTGGAGAGGATGTCGAGGCGATACACTCGCCAGGCTACGACTATCATGCCCCAGTGGCTGTTCCGGTTTTCCCCCAAAAGCCATCCACTCCTGCTCCAGTTTACCTGCCACCCAGCGATGGAAGCCAGGATCAAAATCAACTGAGACTCCGGCTGAAGGACATGCGTTGCCTTTCGGCGGCTTACTTCCGGGCTGTGCTCAAGTTGGACAGCTTTTTGGGAGCTGCACCCACTGTGGACCAGGACAACGATGATGCCCAGCAGGATAAACGCTGCGAACTGCGGCTATCTCGAAGCTTTCTGCTCTTGGATATTTCTGGCGAGAACTTCGAGCGATGTGGTGTGAGAACCTGTGGCCAGGATCTTTGTCTGCGTCTGCGATTCCCCGCCATCAGGGGGTTAAGAACCAGTGGCGATTCGATCTTAACCCTACACTGCAAGGCTCAAGAGCGAGTGGCTGTGAAGACGCATGCCCTGAAAATGGGCGTGGCCAATGATGTGTAGGAAACGTCTTTCCCATGGTCATTTTCTTTTTATTAAAAAATGTATCTTGCCCCTTTTTCAGGCAAGCACGCAGTGTAGGTAGCTACGCCCATGGAGGAGACCAAAACGCCTTCCGCACCCACGTGGAGTTGTTGCGAAAAGGTAGCACTGGATACACCCGTCACTTGGAAAGCAACGGTGCCGTCCAGTTGGGCGAAGAGCTCCTCCTAAGAGCCCACGTTCTGGCCGGAGATGGTAAGTCATCTAATGATGAAAGACTATGGTCTTCAAGGATAGGCCTTCTATCCTTTCAGGCTGGAACTACACCAAGCTCAGCGATGTCCAGCTGCAGAGGATTGCAACCGGAGGAGAAGTGCTCAACACGGTGCAGTTGGTCAGTTCGAGCGGCTGTCTAAATCCCGCCATGCAGGCCATCTGCGCCCATCCACCCAGCCTGGACCCACCGCTCGGCCAGAGACTGCACTTCAAGGCGGTCATGTTCCCTGGGATGCGAAGTGGAGAGGTTCTGGTCATATCCATGCGCATCACGGGCTGCTTGGAGCGCGAGGATTGCCTGGTGACGGCCCAAGATTGCTTGCCATCGGTGGGCCAACGCAGACGACGGAATGTCTCACACGGCAACAGCACCGAAGTCTCGGAGCTCTCGCATCTCACCTTCCGGGTGATAATGGCCGGTGGAGAGGATGCATCTCTGGAGGAGCGGGATATGGGCATAGGGGACTCGGGGGTCAGAGCGACATCCAAATCACTAGCTCTCCTTGGGAGTTTGGGATTTGTGGTGATGCTGCTGGGTGTTGCAGTTGTGGCATTGTATAATTTTCGAAAGTAGTTAAATTTGGCTCGTCCTGAAACTTTTTACATATTTTATACAGGAATAATTATCAAGCCCACAACTTATATAAAAGTTAGGCATTGAACCAAGCCGTATAGTTTTAAATAGCAAATTATGAGCGGTCTTAAATTTTATTATTTCTCTTAACTTGAATATACCGCTTTTATGACTAAAGCGTCAAAGAAACAAACATCTATTGCCAGCTTGGAAGGTTCATTTATAAGTTATCCTAAGTGTTTTGTGTTCCCCTTCTGACCCATCCATTAAAAGCAGTCCAAGTCGCCATCCATATCAATCGTATCTGTATCTGAGGCGCCAATCTGAACCTGACTTTTATCTATCTGGCTGCCAAGTAAATTGACTTATCGCCACTGCGGAATCAGCAGCGAGCCAATTTTTGGCCTTTTCGAGATTAAAACAGAAATTAGCACTTAATAAAATGTAATTTATGTTCATGTCGCCTGTGATTGAGCGGAGCTGAGAATAAAATCCAACAAAATAGGTGTATAAAATCTCAAAAAGCCAGTAGGCAAAGCAAGTAACTGACGGATTTCCAAACTGCGCGCGCAATTCGCAAATTGCGAACTGCGAACTGCGATTCAGTTATGGCCAGATAGTTGAAGCCAAAACCGAAATTTTATCACGTTTTCACGCTTCGAGCGCGGCTAATGAAACCTCGTTCACAGTCGATTTTTGGCTTTGTTATTTGGTGCAATTTGTTGTCGGTTTTCGTAGACTCGTATGATAATCCATTAATCTGGTGGCCGACAGTTTGCGCTTAATGGGCATGAAAATCGCAGCCAATTAGCCGTTGATTTCAGCCACATTTGCACGATGGGTGGTCAACAGTCTAGAGTTACAATTTAATTACACATTGGGGCTTCAGGAGATACATAGGTATCTTGGAATTCGATTGCTAGTTGGGTGGCGTTGGGATAAATGAGCATCGTTTCATTCTTTTGACTCAAATGATTAAAACACAAAATATTTATTTTCCTATGAATTATAAATATAAATAATCAGTTAAACACTTTGTTCATAAGCTTTCTATTACAACACTCTTAAGTCAACGAAATAGCTTCCTTAGGTTTTAATTAGTTAAGCCTGCAAATTTCAGCTGGGTCTTAAGGAATTTGCTTCACTTTACTCGCAAATAAGTGATCATAAAAATATTGGAAAATGACTTTCTGTTTACGACTATAGAAACCCATAACGCTAACTGGCCTTTGGGCATTTTTCGCTGACCTAACCCAAGCGTAAGATGCATTCCCACAGCTGAGATCATCGACAGCTCGGCGAGATGCCCCCAATTGCATCCCCAACTCCGCTTTGGGGAATGTGGCGCGATGTTTTGCGATGTTGGCTAATTAATAATCCCGCCACGTTCCGGCTCGAACACAAATAGGAACGGGGTAATCTTGGCGGCGGGCAGGGGAATCTTGGAGCTTGCTGGCGAGGCTACTTTGTCTTTGTCGCCTAAATGGCAGGCAAAATGTTTGCCGAACATAAATTAATGTCGTACCAACTGGCGCTTAAGTTCGTGCTCGATTTGGCCGCAATCCGTGTACTCCACTCTGCCAAGCGAAGTCGCAGTGAAGGCTCTTTCGCCAAGTGGCTGCAATTTACACTCTTCATTCAGCATCCAAATCGGACCAGTATGTGTGTGGACCTGGCCTAAACAATTTTCATGTCTGCTTAAGTTACCGACTACTTAGTGCCCAGTTTAGCAATGCCTAATAAATATTTATGAGCGCACTTCATTTTAGTCAAGTTTCAATGGACACAAGCAAAACGCAGTTCTATGAATGGCTATTCGATGTTCATGGCTGATTCGTCGATTTCGCTGCTCATTAAAGGAGTCGCCAACTCAAAAGGTTCCGAAAGGGAGCAGCTCGGTTAATTAAAACATCATGTCTGTCACTGACTGGATCAATAAATAGGTAATAATTAGTCAAAACTGGAATGAGCAGCCCATCATCAAGCTTTAATTTCAGTGTAGGGTTCCAGAAAACCGAGCATTTAGATTCAAGATCTTGAATCTCAAACTAAACTCCTAAAACATAAAATGATCCTAAAACAATTTACTAAAAACTCAAGATAGCTTCTATCTTGTTATATTTATAACTTTTATTTCTAAACTTTTACTAATTTCATTTTGATTCCTAATATGCCTGATCTGAACTTTTTTTAGCCCTGTTTTTTGATACACATGCAAGTCATTAAAAGGTACATAAACAACCAAAACAAAAGTTATTTATGTACCAATATAACAACTTCTGCCTCAGCGCTTCAACGTAACTATGTGCTAATTAATTGGATTACACAAGCCGTTATTTATTTATGCACAATTAGTGGCCCTCTCAACACCCAATTATTAATGCTCTGCGATTGGCCAGAGCACAAAAAATATAACTAAATCAACATCTCGGAATCGGCGAGTTGCTCGCACTCATTAGCAACTTTTATTAGCCAAAAGTGTCAAATGCTTTATCTCGGGCTTGGATTGGCCCAAACCGAGTTGCCTTTAAAGCGTCGCCAGTTATTTCATTTGATTTGATTTCATTTTTTGTTTTGCCAACTTTATTGGCCGCGCAACTCGTTTTTTGTGGCCTGCGTTTTTAGCATTGTGGGCATGTTAACATTTGTGTTATTGATTTTTTACAACATTTGACAGTTACGCAGACTCGGCTTGGAATTGCGTATATGTTTTTTGTATTTCTAGGCTCGTTTTTCGAGGCGGATTCGGAGCGCATGACAAGCGATTTGGAGCAATTTGACTTTCGACTGCTGATTGGTTAATCAAATCGGAGTTCATTAAATTGCCATTTTTACATTTAATTGCATATTTGATCGCCGGACAGAACTGACAGCGCATAGTAATACTATATCATAAACGATACATAAAGTGCTTGGCAATACTGCCATTTATTGTAGCCGCAATCTTGCGGTTTCACTGTTTTTTTGCTGTACTATTATTATATCTTTACGTTTTGTTTTTGCTTATTTTTGTGGCCACTCGGCTCGAATGAAAATGGGGAAATTAGCAGACGCTAAAACGCCTCTGTTTGACATCGTTTGCAATTGGAAATTTACACCATTCTCGGGCGTTACAGGTGGCAAACATTGTTCAGTTCATTAATTGTTGATTTTGCACTTTTTCACTCAATGTGCGTCATTCAAATCGAACGTGAACAGCGTTAAAGCCAAGTTTTCGAGGGCTCGAGGGAGGGGCAAGGGGCTGCAGCTGCTTTTCGCCAGTTAATTGCATTTACTTCTAGAGACTTTGAGCTCATCTTGCTCTACATCCCTAAAACATAAAGGTACTTTTGAAATCAAATTATAGCTGGGACTTGAAACATTTCTGTTCTGAAATTGCTATAATTTCCAGTGCAATAATTATAAAATAATAATTGAATATTTTTGTATTTATTTAAAGCCTATCTAAGTGGAAATTTCCCGGTAAGCTGTGAAAATGTATTGATATAGCTATATGGAAAACAAAACTGACCTTTAAGAGTTTCTTTTTTTATGACTAGAGTGACAATGATTCGATACACACTTTTGATCCGATACACCCACGAAGTGTCACATTTCCCATCCAGATCCAACTTTGAGATACAGCACCCCCATATGAAGATATGTATATTTTAAATCTTCGTCTAAGAATCGTAAATAATTCCGCCGAATGAAACCGGCAAATCAAAGTGTCCAACGGCTTTGTCAATAAACATTTGTCGTTCCACTAATTGCCAAACAGAAAAGCATTAACAAACGAAAAACAAAAAACAAACTAAAAAGAAAAAAACCAAATCATTTATGGCAAAGTCAATTGCGCTATTGCTATCTCTTTCGGCGGCGTGGGTGCAAGCATTACGTTGATTATCCAGCAAAAGCAACACACACACACACACACACGCACTGAAAAAACAACGAAATTTAATTAAATTAAAATTGCTGTTGGCCTGTTTCGCCTTCAGCTGCTGCTGCTTCTTAATTCCGGTTAAAAAGGGCGTTCAACTCAAGGGTTTTATTTTGCAATTATTGATATTTATCCATATCGCTTTTGACACATATACTTGAGTTTGCGGAATGACCTTTATTTGTTTATATTTTCTGTGCTTGGTTGTTATTTGTAACTTCCACACTTGTTTGTATTGTATTAAATTACACATTTTTATTAATCACAGGGGACATTTACTTTTTACTGGCATTATAGCACGTCATCACTTGAAGTAAAATTTCAAATAAATATATAATTTGTTTTGTAAAACAATCCAGCTCGCTAGCAACTAATTTCCGTACATTCATTTACTAATACCACTCCCTTTATCGGCTTATCGCAAATTCGGCATCGGATCGCATTGATACGGATGTTTATCTTTGATTGTCGGATGCGCCATTTGTGCTGATAGTGATAATGGGTCATTTGTTATTATCTTATTCAATTTCGGTTTACGATGAGCGAATAATAAGGTAGAACTGTTAGATTCCCGGCTGTGCGGCATGGAAATTACTTAATTACTTATGCGGGGCGCGTTCTGGTTGGCAACGGAATCGGAATAGGAATCGGAATCAGGTTGCTGAATATTCACGGTCAGCTTTTTGTCGTTTGAAGGTTTTCATTTCAAAGTAATCACCGGAAACCACAAATAATTTGTATTGTCAAATTTTTTAATGCATCCTTGGAGACCAACCGTTTATTTTTCAACGAAAGCTGAAACAGCCGCAAACGTTCCGCGCTCGTCGAAGGCTGAAAATGAATTGAACCGAAGTTGAATAAAACTGAAAACCAAATCGCCAAACAAACTAACCGCCTTATCGATAGAAAAGTGCGCAGTTATCGGCGCAATGTCGTCGCTTAGTGTGACCGTAAAGTGCATTTTTGCCCTGATTGGCTGTGGCAGCACTGCAGATAGTTTTGCCTTGTTTTGGTGTGGCCACACTGACTTTTGGCTTGCTATTGTTTACATTCATTTATTTCGACTTCTAATTTGGTGGTAAGTCAAACCGGTGATATCTTATCATTTGCACGAAGTGAAACGACAAGCAGCTGTGCGTTTGCCGCCCTAAAGAATGCTGTGATCACCTTGCCATCGTTTCAAACCGAGAACTGAAATTCTTTGTTCTCGAACGAAGAAGTAACTTTTTTTGCAAGTTGGACAAACCATTAAATTCGTGACGCCGTTTGCTACGACACAAATGCAGATTTTGACCAGGAATCATTAAGTGTGTACATAGCTACCTCGCTTTTCTCCAGTTGCTAGTCTCACTGAAAACAAAAACACAGAGGAACGCGCCTAGTCGAGTGCCTCGACTATCAGATACCCGTTACTCTGCTAGCTAATAGCAATATGCATTTTTTCGTGGAATAGGCGCCACCTGTTGGCAGAATGCGACACCTGTTGATCATTTTCGGAACATACATATTTCCTTTCCATACTAAAAATATATTTCGAGTAACGTTTCAAACAAGTATTATATTATAGATCCCAAGATACGGACTGACATACGAACATGGCTAGACCAGTTTTGCTAATGATCCATAACTAAGAGTTATCCACTTTTCAACACCCTTAAAACTCCTTACAGTTAAACAAAAGATTTAAATAAATTAAATTAAAAGAGTAAGAGAAAATACAGAAAACTTAAAAACCTATTTTAGACCTCAATTTCTAATGCTAATTAATTGAAATCTCCCATGCAGGAAGATACACCCAAAAGCTGGACTGTGATATTACACTCCTATAAGAAGAGAAAAAGGGTATCTGATTAATCTAGTAGATTGACCAGTTTCCGGGACTATTTGACATGGCTGATGATCCCGAGAACTCAGTGGATAGGACCACAGACGACGGAGATGCCAGCAAACCGGAAAAGATGTTCACCCTCAAGAAATGGAATGCAGTTGCAATGTGGAGTTGGGATGTGGAGTGCGATATCTGTGCCATTTGCCGTGTTCAAGTTATGGGTGAGCTAATACTAGTCTTGAATAGAAATAGTAATAATGTTTAAATATGTTGCTTGCCAAGAAAAATGGTCAGAAATTGTAGCAAAATGTATGCATTACTATAAATCTTTCATAGTCTAAAAGAACAGCAAATAGGAATACGAATTATTTGGGTAGCTGCTAGGTATTAACAATTTACTTTAAATCGTTATCAACATCTATTATGCACTTCCTTTGCGTCACTAAGAGTGAGCTATTATTGGATGACATTTCTACTATACTGGCAAACCGTAACTATGACGGAAAATGCCTCAGATCTGATTGCATTACCGGTTGCAACTGACCCAATTAACGACAGGACTCCGCATGAATAAGTACAAATACGTAAAATAATCACCCACAAGTAAATAATTAACAAACTAGAATGATGAACACATAATCGCCCAGCCATTGCACGGATGCTGCTTTCGCAATTGTTTATTCGCCCAATGGCTGACCGATAAGATGCAATGCGGGATCCATGTAATGCTCCTCCTTATCGAGGCTATTCGGTCGAGTGCCGGCAGCAGCTAGATTGTTGCGATAATTGCCGGGGCAAAATCGAGCTCAAGCGTTTCTATTTATGCATTTCATGTGCCTCTGGAATGGCCATCTAGTCGCGATTGGTCATCTAGACACTCACAAATGTATATATATTTATATACATACATTTAGAACGGATTGCGAGGACGCATTCGGTATGAAACTCACGTATCTGCGGCGCTGACATTGCGGCAACTGTAAACTGCATTGTGAAGGTCGTATGCAAAGCGATTTTTCGACGAAAGTAAACGTAACTTGGATTTGGTTTGATTTGTATTTTAAATTAGTCTACATATAGATACACTTACAGCGTAGGTAAAGTACAATATATATTCGATATATAGCCAATTGGTGTATTTTTCCGGGGAGATTTTGGTTATTTTTCTTCTCTGTTTGCTTTTGCTTGCATTCTGCACTACAACTAACTACGATTCATGTCATTTTTTACACCGATAAATTCACGCAACATTCATCAAAATGTCAACAAATTAGTGCTAGAAATCATAATTTACATAATAAAACTATGCACTTAATGATTATAAATAATAATAACAATTATGCGTGTAGAAAGGAAATTCTTTTGCTAAGCATTACAAGTTAGCTAGGACTAACAATATCAGAGCGCCTGGATGGGGTCCTTATATCATATCATAGGCTTCTTCTCAGGATCACCCACTGCGTTTTACACACGTCTCTTAAGCACTAAAGGCACTAGTCTAGTATTTGGTTTGATCGCATATTCAGATCCTTGGCAACACGCCGTTTACATGTTGAAGGACAATGGCTTTATGTTGGCCACCGAGGACATGCGGCGCACACGGCCCATCATTTTCCGCTCGATATCCTCCAGCGTCTTGCCCTGCGTTTCCGGCACGTAGATTATCACAAAGAACAGACCCACAAAGCAGATGGCGCCGAATAGCCAGAAGGCTCCATGGGCGCCCATTGCAACTGCACACAAAAATATCAAATATTATTAAACCACTCATTTTAAAGTTAGCGCCAAGCTTGCACTACACACCCGTGAGGTCCTGGAAGGTCTTGGTCACCACAAATGTGCAGGACCAGTTGAACGCCGTGGCCACCGAAGCAGCCGAACCGCGAATCTTGGCCGGCAGAATCTCGCCCATCATCAGCCAGGGAATGGGTCCGAAGCCCAGGGAGAAGCCCAGAATGTAGATGACGAAGCAAGTGAGTGGCAGCCAACCCAAATTGGACACATCCGGACCATGGGCCTTGCAGTAGAAGAAGCCGCCCAAAACGAACAGGGTCAGGATCATGGCGATGTTGGATACATACAGAAGAATCTAAAAAGAAGAAACCAAATTACAATTAGTAAACAAGGACTCTCATTTATATGCAGCTTTGAACCCACCTTTCTGCCCGCCCGATCAATCAGAACGATGCCGATAAACGTGGCCAAAAAGTTAACAACACCCACAATGATCGTGCAGATATTGCCATCGATGGTGGATCCCGCATCCTTGAAGATCTGCACCGTGTAGAAAATAACCGCATTGATGCCGCTCAACTGCTGGAAGAACATCAGACCCAAGGAAATGGACAGCGGCTTCAGATTGTTGCGCTTCAGCAGCTCCAACATGGTGTTCTGCGTGGCCTGACGATCGGCATCGGCCTGGGATCGCATCAAGCCCTTCAGTTCGGGCTCCACATCCGCCTCCTTGCCACGCAGCCAGCTCAAGGCCTTCCTGGCGCGCTCCTCGCGACCACGGCTCACAAACCAGCGCGGTGTTTCCGGGATCAGGAACATCAAAATCAGGAAAGGAACGGGCAGAGCCGCTCCCAAGAAGGCCAGCATCGACCAGTTCATAAAGGATCCCGCCACAAAGCACAGCAAGATGCCTATGTTACCAAAGGCCGTGGGCAGCAAACCCAATGTGCCTCGCACCTCCGGCTGCACAGTCTCACCCAAATAGACGGGCAGGGATAAAGAGGCAATGCCGACACAGAATCCGGCCAGGAATCGCCCGCACAGCACCATGGCCACGTTCACAGCGCAGGCAATCAGCAGCGATGAGACGATGAAGGGCACTGCGGTGGCCAGGATGGTGTTGCGCCTGCCCAGATATTCGATCAAGGGTCCTCCGGCTATGCCACCTGCCAAACCAGCCAGCGGCATGATGCCACCAACCCAGGAACCCTGAAAGTAGTTCGATTTCAAGTGATTAGCCAGGGCTTTGGCTGCGTTAAGGTAAACTATTGGTGTAGAAACTCGGGTTTCGCTGGTAAAGTGTGTCTTGAAACGCTCTTTTGAAGTGATCTTCATTAATCGACATTTTTCCGTGCTTAGATACTGCAAAGACTACGCTTAGCTGTAACATTTTTCCGAGATGCGAACAAAGAGCGCACTTCACTGGGAGGGAATACGATTTCGTTGTACTTACAGCATCTTGGGTGACCTCAAATGAGGTGATATTCCGATCGGTCATCGACACAAGAGCAGGGGACGTATAGGCGCTGACAAATCCGACCACCAGGGAGCCCAGCGAGACGCTCAGAGCAGCCAAGACCTGGAAATACGAAGGAAGATGATTCAATATGAGCAAGGCTTCGATTTTTGAACAGTGTTTTTGTATGAGGCTGTGCAGGCACCTGGGAGAAGGTGCAAATGGCCTTGGGCTCCTCGACGGGCACGGAGAAGGACACATGGGTGTCCGCTCGCATAAGGATCTTCATCGCGCTGCAGTATCTTTAAACTGAATCACGAACTGAAATCGTTTTTGGCTGGCAACGAGGCTGCGTATGTAGCTAAAACAGCTCTAGCTTCCTGCCTTTCACTTTGCTCCTTGGAATGGAATACTGGAATACTTTAGGCGCGTTCGCTCGTCAAAACTCAACTGAAACTTGTCATTTTGCCCGAGTGCAGCGGCAGTTGCATTTCCACTAGTTTTCAATATTCGAGAATAGTTTTTGCCGTGATTTGATGGGGCTCAGGCACGTACACGAAGCCACCGAGTGCTGATCGGATCGATATCGCTTATGTGAGCAACGGAGATTCTGTTGGCAAGTGTTTGATCAAGACCGAGCTTATCAGTTTGTTTTCGAACGGCAGAGACAAAGAAAAGGCGCTATGCCGATTCTTAAAAGCGGTTTCAGGCTGTTTTCAGCGAACGTCGCCAGCACGAATGCGAACTGCAACTGCCAAACATCGACAGAAGTTGCAGGGTCAGCGGTCAGTGGTCAGCTGTCCGAGCTTACCACTGCTCAACACACTCAATCTATACGAATCCGATCCATCCATCCATCAGGCAGCTAGCGATATTTTTAGTCCGGCCATAACTAAATGCGTTAATTTCAATTAAGGCAAGAGCGTCTCAGACCCAAACGCAGCGTCGTCGGCGGCATCGTGCGAAAATAGCTCAAATGGCCCACACGGCGGCAGCTCAATCTGGTGGCCCCCTAAATTGCTCAACGAGTGCTTTATGGTCGCATTAGTGCCATTCATAATCTTGGGCCCGGGAGGCGCCAACGAGCTTAACGAGCGGACAATACATGTCCTCCACCGCCCCTGGATGTCACAGTGCGCCGCATCGAAGGACTACACTCGGAAAATTGGGGGCAAGTGTGAACTCCTGATGATCAAGCACTCCATAATGGCTAGAATGATAGCGACTTAAAAGAACGAGCTGCGAGTTGCATCCCACGGATGCCTGGACTTTTTCAAAACTATGAACGCCTAAGTTTTTAAATACAAAATATTGTTTGCTTAAGATGTAAGCTGTCTTGCTTAAGCCCTAAATGAATAGGATGAATGAATGAATAGGATTAATAGCGACTTTTCGCTGAGTGCAGACCCACCTGTGTCCAAATGAATATGGGATTCGTTGTGGGACGGTAGACCTCCAGCTTGGGCTTGCCATCCTCGGTTATCTGGCGCACGAAGGGCACCGCATGACGGATGTTCTCGCCGCGTTTGTTGCCCATCTCGTCCATCTCGTAAAGTCGCCGGCTGCGGGAGGAAGGAGGTTGCAAAACTGTATTGGAAGGTTGCCTTTGCTAACAGTCTATTAAAGTGTGTAAGGGCTCATTGTGGATTAGCCGGAGCCGGACACGGACACGGAGCTACAACTATGAGATCGCTCAAAATAGTCGGAGCAGCGTCAGTGGTTCAACAATTTGTATGCCACTTGGATTAAATGAATCAACGAAAGTGCGCAAATAGCTTGAAAGCAATCTTAGGCATGCGAAGAGCTAACTATTCAATTACTCAGATTGTTCATCATTTACTACGCTCGTATGTGCAGTGGCTTACTTTTCAATCATATTTATATTGGGCTCCTCAAGTTAAATATGCAAAAACAAACATCATTATTTCCAGAGTCAAGCTCACTATTGTTCAAGTCTGTGATTAGTGTGCTAATCTGAGGATATTTGTAAGCCGAATTACTTTGAAAAACACCAAGAAGCCAATCGCCTTTTGTAATCTTTCTTGGTATCGAGTGACACCCCTTCACCGAACTTATCTGTTCCAAGAAAGGTGATTAATGACAGCCCTATCTCGACGATAGAGCACAAGCTGATATCCAAGTTTATACCAGGCTAACGAAATATTCACTGTATTGGCTTTTGGAGTACATGTACATGTATGTAGTTACTTCATTGCATTGGTGGTAATTCCACATAACTTTTGCTATACTACAAAGTTCAGAGACACAGAAGCGTATTGCAGATAACCCCTGGCTATGAACTTTCGCGGGCTTTCCACCCAATTTGCGTGGTGTTTTTGATTATTTTTCATAGGGAGACACTCACCTCTTGCGGGAATCTGTGCTGATGGAACGCTGCTGTTGGAAGTGCTGACGCGATGTGAGAAAGTCCTCGTCGCTTTCGCTTTCCAGATCCTTGAGATCGATGATCACCGGCTTGGTAATGTCCTTGGGTCGGTGGATCAGGCGCTTGTGCTCGGCATCTTCGCCCTCTTCGTCACTGTCCGTGCTCGATCCCTGGAGGACCTTATCGAGCTTGAAAGTGACACGTGGATCCAAACTCTGGTGCTTGCGTCCTTGGAACTCCCGCCGTGTCTTGTGGAACTCCTCCTCCGACGACGATTCCTTCAGCAGATCCTGCAGGAAGCGTGTGCCCTTAACGTCCAGGGAGACGTGCTTCTTGGCCTGAAACTGCCGGCGATTGTCGTTGGCCAAAATGTGCTTCAGGTCCTTCAAGATGCCCTTGTGATCGACGCTGGTCGCCTTCTGCTGCTGGAAACCAGTTCGCTTCTCCTCGAAACTGTCCTCGTCGCTGCTCTCGGCCGCTTTGTTGTTGTTGGTATTGCTATTGCCGGTATCGCGGCGCTCGAAGGACACGCGTGATCCTTTCAAGCTCTGCTTGCTGCGCTGCAGCTCGTCACCCTGGGCACCTCGCTGTTGGCGATCGCGATGCTCGCGAATCTCCAAGGATGTGGGCGGTGGTGGCAAAGGGGTCAACTCCAAGCTACCACTGGCGCGCAATGGACTCCTATGTGGCTGTTGTGTGGGTGGTTCGTTGATGTCGTCGTCCTCCAAAAGCGGGCGAAACGATAGCGGTGGCTCGTCCTCCAGCAAGCGCTGTGTCCTCACGGTCTGTGGATGCCTTTGCGGTGACACTTGGGGAAACAGGAACGGATCCTCTGGCAGAATTGTGTCCAAGCTGGTCGCTGTGTTCGAGGTGGACAAATTGCTCTCCACACGATGGTAGCCCAGCTCGTCCTGTGAATCCAAAAGAATCGATTCGAATCAAAAGACAGTCGCGAATTGATTAAATCAAATCATAAGCATGGCGTATTTATGAAGCCGCCCCATCTCACCATTAAAACCGCTCCAAACCGCCCCAAAATCTTTGCGATTAAGTCGCAAGACTTGTTCTTGAATACCAATCTCAAAGGTGGCAAGAGGTCCAGCATTATCGGTCATGTGCGTACTTGATGCTCTTTAAAGTGTTGTTTTTGGATCCTTGTGATGCTTTTAATTGCCCTATGCGCATACCAAATTTTAGTGGCTCACATAATGTACTATTTGGAATTTTTATTGCTAGTTTTATTCAAGTTTTTAATAGGCTAAGGAACTGTTAAATAATTTGTTCCAAAGTGTTGAATCTAACAGTTCTATGCTGTAAAATATTTGGCACTTTTCAAAGTTTGCTTTAGGAATATGTAAATAATCTCAATGCCCAGATTAAAAATTAGAAGACCATGAATGCCTAGCTATCTGTTGAACTGGAGCTGGGCTCCAGGCGGCTGCTCGACTACCCCAATATTATTTCCGATGGGATACTTACACCTACTCGGGTTAGTTTTTCCTTGAGCTTGCCCATGGCGTTGCTCAGCGGTTGATGACCGCCGCCTCCGCCGCCGGCTCCTCTGTTATCGCGTCCACTCATCTTATCAGCTCTATAGCTTTGTAGGTGAACTTGAACTTGTGGGTTTTCCTCGGGAAGTTTGTTTTTGTGTCAAATTTTCACTTGTTTTTGGTGTCCGCCAATCGACCACATACACAATTGGTTCTTCTCTTGGTTGATTTGTTTTTTTGTCTTTGCTGCAAGTAAATAGAAGTTTTCAGATCGTTAAAATATACTACAAAGTTATTTAAATATAGGTATGCTTTTCACTTTTTAATCAACTGCATTTATCAGCGGTTTCTAATTGTCTTCTGTCTGTCACATTTCTATTGCTTTCATAATATTGTTTGATAGTAATTGACTACCGATATACTGGAACAATCTAGAGTATTATTATGCATTAATTGGAATGGTCCGATGTCTGAAAAAATAGTTTGATAAGTGCACTATATCAGCGATTTTGGTCTGCTTCAAACCGTCTGGATTTATGGGCTGGGTTTTAGATAACGCACGAGCCCCCTGAACACCCAAACACACCCACTTTCCTTGATTGCCACATGTGACCAACTTTGTAGCCACAGCGGAGGCGCTGGTTTTCCGCAACACATAGTTGTTTTTATTTACTTTTCACGCAAACTTGTGTGAGCGGCTGGTTTTCGCGGCAACGTGGAAAATATTTATGATCTTTTATATTTGGCATGCGGCATTTTGGCTAAAAAGTATACAGTTGAAACGTATTTCGAAAATTTTCCACCCACTTTCCATGGTGCATATATAAGCTGATTAATGACCGCATCGCGGTAAAAAGGGAAATATTTCCTTTTTTTTGGCTTTGTCAAATTTTGTCCGTTCTATTTGTATTTATGTTGACTTTTCACTTTGCGTCATGTGATGCCTGGGAAAATGTGTGGGCGCCATGACGTCGACGAGTCCGTCTCTGTTTTTTTGCCAACGCTTTTCCCCCAAAAACCATGCTCTCTTCCCTTTCTATAAATTTATCTATCTATAAATTTTGTTGTCTATTTTCTGCAATTCTATTCTGTTTTCGGAATGCCGTGCAAATATCAGCAGGCGTGACATAACGCTAGGTGTAATTCATGTGTGTGGGGGCGTGGCCTCCCAACCAAGTTGAATTGCAGGAGCACCGGAAAAAATATTTCAGTATTCGAAATATATCCTTAAAACATAAATGCGTCTTAAACTCTTTTTAATTTAATTTTGGATTTATTGACAACTAAAAATTATAAATTACCTTTACCAATCAAAACATATTTATTAAGTTATCCTAAAGCTATGTATACTATCAACAAGTTCAAAAAACCTGTTGCGGTATGGATACTGTGATACATATCTAATGTATGTATGTTTCAACCCAAATATTTACAGTGAGTGCATTTCCCTCCCAAAATAGTACAATTTTAATGGCCTAAACTAATAGTATTTCTGCGCGTGTCGCCTGTTTAGTTATCCATTTATTGGTTAATGAACGTGCTGCGCTTTTCGCCAGTCTGAAACGCAATTGCAACGCCAGTGTTTATATGCAAATTCTTGCGCGAAAGGCGCTAAAAGTTGCCATTGACCTTGAAGGCCGCCGCCTGAGTGGGCGGCTGGGCAAATGACACATATTTTTGGGGGCCTGCGAGGCGCAGGCGATGGCTAAGAGATCGAGATCGCAGCACAGACTCTCTTAAGCCGTGGTTGGGCCCAGAGCCGCTCTCTTAACAATCGAACTCACGTGCCGAATGAACCCCGCTCTCACACGCACGCACACTGCCAAACGGTAAACGCACACAGGTGCGCAGCCTACGTCAACAGTGCAACGTTGCGATTTTGTATTTTCTACACTCGTATTCGTATTTGGAAACGTATTCGTCATGATCTTGCAGGCATTTTATTTTTAAAAAACGTTTTTCATGCTGACAGCAGATTAAGAAAATCGTAATCGGAATTCAAATTAACAAAAGGCAGCCGCCAGACGACGAGTATTATAAGTAAATTCGCTTCAATTAGCGCAAAAGATCGCCCACACTCGAATTTGACATTAAAATGTATATTTTTGTATTTCTTTCTTTCTTTTTTTTTTTTTTGTTTTTGTTGTCCAACTTTGTTTTCACTTTTTGCGCGCCACGCCACTCACAAATATGCACTACACACCATTCGCAAATATTTTTGTAAGAGATAAAAGCCAAGTGTTCTTGTCTAAAATTAAGAATTTTCACGGTCGCCACTCTCCCAAAAAATTTTCTCGTATTTTCTTTATTTCCTCGAAGATTGCATTTTACCCTTGGCCAAAAAGTTTTTGCCATTTCTTTTTCGCTTGTTTTACTGCTCTTTTACAACATTTTTTCTCACATTACGTAAAATAGTTTGCAGTTCGCAACGGGTTCATTAAAATATTGGTTCATAAATATTTCCCAGTTTGACGTAGTATGCAAAAATGCGCATAAATTGGTAGGGTTTTTTTTTTTGTTTTTGTTGTTATATATATTTCTTGTATAGGCCAGACAGCCGAGAGACTGTTTTATTTTTTTATCTGCATATTTATACGAATAGTTTCTGCAAATTTACTCGAGAAACGCGATAAGGTGGCGACCGGAACTGCTCGAAAACCAAACTATTCAGAAATAAACAACTGGAATGTAACACACTGGGTAGTAAAAGTTTTCTTATTCGCTTTATTTGCGGCGATTTTTGTGGTCCTTTACCTTTGGAACAAACTACTAAATGTGATATCCACTATTGTGGCACTGAAGTTCGAGATTCGAATGCGCAACGTTTATATAGCGCACACCGATTTCGTTGCGGAAGAAGAAGAGTTATTCGCTCAAGCTTTTTGTTGTTCCCCAACGGTAAAACTCGCGCTCTCTGCGCCCTCTCTCGCTCATCGCCTGCTTGTATGGGTGCGTTGGAGAGAGTAGGGACTTAGGTATTTTTGGTGAGAGAGCGTCGAGGCGAAGGTCGAAAAGAAGGCATGAATGAATGGGGCTCGTCTATGTGGGTGCATGTGTGGGTGTGCGTCTGCAAGTGTGTGTGTGTGTGTGTGTGGGACGCCTCCTAGTCGTAGGTGTCTCCTCAATAGTTGTTGTAGTTGTTGCTCGTTGCTCTTGTTGTTGTTGCTCTCCTGGCAGTTGGAGGCTGCGAGAGAGTATGACGCGTGTTCTTGAAGAGAGGCCGCGGCGACTCGCGACTCGCGACCCAGTGGCACCATCCAAAACCCATTTTGTACTCTTTTCGCGCAAAGGGTTTCCTTGGCGCATAACTCCCTTTGATTCATTGTTGCAAATTTTCAGTGGCGCATTCGTATGTCAAATGTCTTATCAATCAAATAGTTATTATTGCCACAGTCATGATTTAAAATTGCAATGATTTATGCCTGGTAAATGGGTAATGTAATGCTTATAATGTTTGGGCTTTAAAATATTTGTGTATTATTTATTGTTCAAAATCTAGCAAAACAATACATCACAGTTTTTTTGCAAGCTGGTATATTTTTGAAAATAAATTCAAACGGAGCAGTCAAGCAATTAATCATAATAACAATTTCTTATAACATTTCTAATCTCTAAAATTAAGGCACAAAGTCTTTGGCTTAAAATAAAACGTTGATTGTGGGATTATCAAGATAATCTACACTTTTATATCAAGGTTAAGCTTAACTAATCAGCTTATTTGAAGGAAACATACATCGTATGATGATACTATTTAAATTAGGATATATCCGCAGTCGGCGTCCTTTCAGCTGGCACTTTTATTGATTTGTTTTGGCCACTACTTGGTTATAGTTATGGTTATGCTCAATGACCAATTGTCGGGGCCGGGAAGGTGAGAGTTCCTTCGCTCCGTCAATTGATTTTTATTTACACACATATTTTCAATTGATTGTTATTAAATTGACTTTGAGGCGCGTGCAAATTTTCTGGAAGCCTTGGGAAACATTTTGCGTGCGACTCCATGTGTCCGCCACTCGATGTCAATATCAATTCACTCAATTCACTTTAGTTTTCGGGGGCCTGACGCAAGTGCAACCAAAACAAACGATGATGGATGTTGTTATGATATAGGGAGACGAGCATTAGGCAAATAATTAAACGCATCACAAGTGCTTCGCATTTCTGCATTATTAAACAAATATTTATTGTTTTATTTATTTGGCTTTCTTTTGAAAAAACAGCAAACGCGCCCCCCTAAAAAACAAAACCACGCGGAGGGCTCGTCTCTCTTTATTTCATAACGTGGCATAAACATTGCGCGCAATGAGACGACACTATTTCCAAGTACCAGGCCCGCCAGCCGGTCTCAGATACAGATACAGATACGACTAGACAGCAACAGATACGGATATATGTACCCAGCAATGCTCGAAAATGTGGATGGTCACCGCGGTCACCCTGACCAACAGAAGAACATTGCATTGCATTTCACTCATAAGGCTATCAGCTATAGTTAAAGGAGGAATTAACCTGATCTAACTTAGGGAACGTTCTTTCTGAGGAATTGAAAACAAACTGAAAGCATTTAAACTCATAATCACGCTCAGATTGCAAAAGCTATCGGCATAACCGCCATTACTCACGAACTAGATTAACGCTTGAATCCGAGTATTTAAGAGCATTTAAATGGTAAAACTATCAATTAATAGGTGTTTATGGGCAACTATTAGCTCTGCAGATTAGGACCCCTGCTGATCTGAGCCTCTGATCGATTTTGGACAATTAACGGAAAGTTTTTAGTCACGATTCTTTGCGGCACGCGTAAGATATTTCAGCATTTCCATTTCCACCACATCGACCCTCATTTGCCCTCGACTCGAAGTTGCGATCGGTTCGTATCGGATTGAATATGGTGTTGTTCTTGCTTTTTTTCCGATTTTTTTGGCATGACTCAAGGCTCAGTTGGATCGAGGAAAAGTAATATAACACGGATAAATAAATAGTTGTATGTAGCTCGCAAATGTTGATGAATTCTGTCGTTTCTCGAACTGTGGGAAGGTCGAAAAGGCGGCACGCAAAAAATGTTTGAATACGAAACTTGATTGACAGGAATCGGCGAGAAAGAGAGATCTCAAGAGAGAGATGGCAAGAGAATACGAGCTGTCGAAATAGGAATTTAAAGTGGTGTAAAAAGTGTCAAAAGTGCAATGAACTTTAAAATAATTGCACAAATGTGAAGTACTGAGGGTTTGACTTTGGTAACGGCACTGAGCAAAAGCTGTGGTAACTTTGCAGTTTTTTAAATACATATTTTTCGAATATCTAATAATGGTAATTAGTAATAGATAAGTTTTCAGCTGATAAGTTTACAATGAAGTACTATCGCTTTCATGATTCATCACGGCATAATGGGCTTTTCGCATTCAAGGCTTTTAACTTATCTGTGGAAAATAGGTACATCAGTTCTGTTTCCTCGCACATGACGTAATTAACAGGGAGCTTTCACGTAATTACCGAACTGTACTCGCTTTTCACAGACCCACTTCCTATTTTGTCTATTTTTAGCAACTGGCAGTCTAAAAAATATGCAAAAACTACAACACAAATGGCGAACCAAGCGCAGAAAATGCCAAAAGAGACGAGCCCCCCAGTTGCACGTACTGGCTAGAGAGAGAGACAGAGAGGGAGAGAGAGAGACAGAGAGAGGGGCATATATATGTAGTGAAAGAGAGGGAGTTATAGGGTGCGAAAAGGAGGGGCAGAGCAGTGGTAGAGCACCTGGTAACAGCATTGAGGAAAGAGAAGTCCAAAGAGAGTGCATGAACCTATTCAATTTGCGAAGTGGCGCAGGCGCGCGATTCAAAAGCTGATGCAATTGCGCACTTATTGCATCAGACTCTGTCAACGAGGCTCCACTGTAAACATAAAAATAACTCAAACTCTTGTGCGTGAGCCGAAATTTTCCATGCGCTAATTAAAGAACTTCGACAAAGTCAAATTGAAGCAAATGGCAGAAAATCATTAAAAGCTTATTTATCTAATTGAAGTCACATAAAATTCCGCGAACAAGAGAGAGTGGTCGAAAGAGAGTCTTCCCACGTGATCTCTTTCCGTTCTCTTTTCTGCTTTTTTTTGCAGCTAAATTTAGCGCTAAGATATCAAAATATGTAAGACAAAAAAGAGACCAATAAGTTAAGTTAAGCATGTGATTCCGCATCCCAACCCCTTTTTCTTTTTTATTCGTCACGCGGCAAAATAAGCACAATAAACAAGAAAATAGATTTCCGATTTTAAGGCATAATAACGATACATTTTACGGGCCATCTTAAGAATAAGTATGAAATATTCTAGAGCGAATTGCATATTGGCCTGTTTTTTTTCTGTACGAACTACACATGTTTGTGTGTATACAACTGAATATTCGATTGCGTCTGTATGCGTGGTGACGTTGCTGCTTTTGGCAAACCAGACGAGCCTCCAACAAATTAAGCTCCACATGGGGACTTTGTTGAACCTCTGAAAACTGCCTTCAAACTTTGGCTGGCACTCACTCATTTGGCTTGCTGATTAGATCCGATTATGACGAGCGGTTACGGTCTGCAGGAATTTTTATTATCTTCCCGATCGCACTTTAAACTCAGTCCAACTCAACGATGCACCCGTCGGATTCATCCAGAGAAAAGCTCCCCCAAAAAAGCTTTGTTCGCCACCTAATCATTAGAATTTGACTTTTGTTTTCTATTAATAACCGGCTAATTTTCAATGGGAAGTGGCTGCCTAGTACAACAACTAACACGTGTGCAAATAAGACCTGTTTTAGTTGTGTACCGGAAAAAAATGCACATTAATATGAGGGTGTGAAAATGAGTATCTTTAAATCAAGTCGAAAATATTTGTTTTTTTGACGGTCTGCTGATTTTAATATGAGTCATAATAATAAAATTCATGAAAATAATACAAGTTTTCAATATGGTCCATATATTCCGGTGTATGGTCTGGAATGGCTTGTTGAATATGTATGTTTTTTCTGTGTGTAACGACAGGTGAGACAGCAAGAGGTACTCAGACATCCAGGTAATTAAGGCAAGCTAAATGGCAAGACCGGTGCCCTTCAGCCAAGGTCAAAGTCGCACTGTCCGACTGTCTAACAGCATTTTTGTCACCAGCCGCCAGTGGGCAGTTCAAAAGCTGCGAAGTTGCGTCAGATCGCTAATAGAAAACTTAACTCTACATACACCTATATATGTACATATATGATATCCACGAGATACATATAGGAATAAACCCACAAACAAAACGACGATCGGCGGCGTCTGGCCTGACTAGTTAGTCATACAGTGTCAGTCTGCCAGCCAGTATGCAAAGATTAAAATACTTAACCGAGTCTGGTTTTGGCGGCTTTAATTGATGGCGTTTATTTATAAATCATCTCATGAATATGCACATTTTTTAGAGGGTAAAACAATGTAGGTTCCGTTTGGCGGGGAACTATAGCGGGTCATTGGGTAGATCAACTATCGTACGATGATAGTCTACGGCCACTAAACAAACTGTTTTAAAGGTGTTAATTAAATAGATGATTGAAAAAGTTACTCGAAGCTAACTTGTTGCCATCTATTAGGCACCGAACATTCCGAAGCACAACTACTACACATAGAAGTGAATAATTAAAGCACAAAAATGTCAATGGAACCTTTAATTGTATAAATTAAACAACAATAAGGGCACATTATGTGCTAAGTAATAAATAGAAGCCTTGACCTACGTGCAAAAATGTTCAACGCGTAGTAAATAGTTTCGATATCGTTTGTTTTCAAAACAAATGCAAAATAACAAAACTCTGAAATGTCCAACTAATTCTTAATCCCGTATAATTCAACCCTGCTCAAGTCAAGATTTCAAGTTGCACTCCGTCGGCGCCAAGAACATGGCCTCGGTGGCGCAGTTGGCAGCGCGTAAGTCTCATAATCTTAAGGTCGTGAGTTCGAGCCTCACCCGGGGCATGTAACTTTTTTTTATTTCTCCTGTTGAATTTTTCCTTTTTATGATGATGATTATGATTTTATCAATTGGTTAACTCAACTGTTTTACCTTTTGCGGTACTAAACATTTTTTACCTGTATGTTTACAATTTAGATATTATTTAATAATTGTTACAATGGTGCTTTCTCTCCGTTTGCTTTCATTTGTAAACCGATTTTTGTATTTGATTTAAATATTAGAATGTGCAAGCTATTTATACTTCAGTTTTACCTATGTTAATCAAATATTTTGACATCGTGCAAAGCATTTAGGCATCCCTTCATAAATTGCAAGTGCACTCGACAAATCCGTCATAAAATTACGCTGGCGTGCGGCCGGGATTATTACGGTTACAAAATGCAGTGCCGTAATTTAAACTGTGCAATTACACGACCATTACGCCTGACATTAGCTTCTTCCAGCTAGCAATGAGATCCGGACAAAGCAAATAGAAACGGTCCACGGGCGGTGCAATGATCAGATCGGAGCCACCAGGCAAACCCGGGATGATGGGCGACGTCAATATTTGGACTAAACCCACACCCACACCCACGTCGTCTGAATGTCACGCGGTCGCCAGTGGGTTAAGGCTGTTCCAACCGGAATTTTGTGATAGGTCGGTTTAATAACTAATGAACTCAGCTGCACTCGAAAACAAGAATTCAGAAGAACATGCGCCAAGCTAATTGGAAATTGTTCAGTTTGAAAACAAGGCTATATGCCTTGCTTAAATTTAAAAATATATTGTAATGTAGTGTAATGTATAGTACACATAATTTTAGCAAAAAAAAAACTAAACTAAAAAACTGCGCATTAAAAGAAAACGTTTAGAAGAATTTTTTCCCCCTTTAGTTCGTAATTTTGCAAAAATGCATCGGGTTCGGTTTAAAGACCTCGACTGTTGCAAGTTGAATACTCCTTTCATATGACTCCTTGTTCCAAGTCACATGCCTTATGTAAAGCATGCCAAAGAGGCGAACCAAGGTCGGCGAGATCTGGTATTGTTACAGGTACATAAGATGCTGATAACAACTGAAAATCCCAGACGGCGGGGGGCGCTGCAACAGATATTTTAAGAGAGCATGGAGTGCGAGTACCAATTTAAAAGACGCATGGAAAATTTCATGGAAAATTACCAGTGGAGTGCAGAGATTTCAAAAAAATTTCCTCTGAAACAAAAAGAAAAATCCAAAAATTTTCCATTCAACGGCTGCAACTGATCTCTCGATGTGCGCGTGAGTGAGAAAGTGCTTCTGCCTCACAACCGCATACCTCTCGTATTTGTACGCCTCTGGGTAACCACTACCCTATACAACCATCGATTCGTTTCTTCGGCGATCGCCATAAATTTCAAGTTTGCACCGTGTTCGCCTCGTTCTCCGATATCTGCACATGTGATCGGTCATGTACGTATCTGTGTGTATACCATATGTGCGATACATATCTGTCTCTGCATCTGTATCTGTATCCAAATGTGCCAGATATTGGCCACTCGTAAGTGGAACAAGCCAGAAATCGCTACGCTGTGTCTTTTCATTTGGTGTCTGTGCAATTCCGTACACTGTGTGTTTCTCGAGACTTTTCTTCGCCGTTCAGGCTTTTCCGTTTCAGAATTCCCTACCTAAGTTACCTTGAAAATGTTGAGTAATTAAAATAATAGTACAAGGCGATATAGTGTGCGATTTTAAGGAAGTCAACTAACTTGCTAAGTTTCTAAATAAATTATATGTGCAAGCAAGTGATTGAGATTAAATCGTAGTATCTATTTGTTTACCCACTCAAAGATCACTCACTAATTGCCTGATCTTGGAACCGCAAAAACGTATTTATCTTCACTTTTGTGGCATGCTCGCAAGGCATTGTCCCTTTGCTTTCGGCTTGTTAATTTCCACAAAATGCCTGAATTATTTTACCGACCGCCCGAACACTCTGCATTAATTAACATTTATCTACTAACATTCACACCTTCAATTCGGTCACATGTGCGACTTTCCACGAACCGATATGGCAATGTGATTTGCCAAAAGATATGTGAGTGAAAACACCATTGCCCTCACAAAAAAAATTTCCACGCGTTGAGTGGGGATTTCCTTTAATGACGTATGTACGAAGCTATGAAAATAATGCTAACTTAATTTAATTTGATTTATAACCAGTTTTTTATACTACAGTACCAAAAATATATTGAAAGATTTCAGAAACATAAGCATACAAATCTTATTCCAAGTGACATGATCACAATCTTCAGGATAGGGCATTAACCGACTCTTTCATGAGGATGCACTTAAGAGAGCATTTCGCGCAGACAGCGAAGAGCGCCAAATGCAAAGAGCAGTGAATGAAGAGCGGATTTGGGGGCACGTTCGTTGGCTGATTTTCTTTATATTTGTTTTCTCGAATTTCTTGTTGTTGCTGCCTTGTTGTTTGCTGGCTGCTGGGCGACAAGCCCCCGTGCATGACGTCACGTAAGCGAGACCGTTACAACAACTGCGAAACGTGTTGTGCGGGGGGAAGCGAGAGTGAGAGAGGGAGACATAGTGAGAGAGAGAGAGGGGGAGTTGCTGTGCGAAAGAGATATCAGCGAATGCAACGTGACACGCAGAGCGAAGCACAAATAAATAGTAAAATATTTATAATAAAGCCGAGCATGTGACCAATTTGTCGGTATATCGACTGCAGCGATAAGACGCAGATATTAAGAGCCCGATAAAATAGCCATCGAGGTGCAGAAAACGCGGGTCGCAGGTGCGAAAATTCTCGATCGCCTGCTATGTACATACTGTATATGGCACGATTTAAGGGCTATATTTAGGCCCGATCCCAGACAGATTCGCCAATGCACCCGCCAACCTTGAACTTGCAACACACACAGATATACACACATGCATGCATGCATATGCACTTACATACATACATACCTATGCACTTGCATAACGGCCAGACATTTTTGCATTTGCATATGGCCGTGCACTCGACTAGATCCCATTCCGATTCCGATCCGCTCCGATTCACCCATCTATATGGTCGGCGAGCGTCTGGTCAGGTGCGGCAAACTGGAATTCTTAATCAGTCGGCTGTCGACTTGTATCGGCAGACCTGAAATCGAAGCAGTTACGACTAAGTCAAGTAGGTCTGACTGGTTTGCCGGCCATTCCACTGACACCCTCTATTGGAAATGGGGTATATGGGTTAGTCGGTCGTACACGTATTCAAAGATTATGAAAGGAAAATCGCCGGTGCAATTTTGAGCCACTTTACATATGATAAAACAAACTCAGACATCGAACTGATTTCCAGCACATTACACCTGCACCATCTATATAAAAAAGGATGTGTAAGTAACCACTAAGCGGTGTTAAAATGTTAAAAATAAATCTTGTTCAAACATTTATGAAAATAAATCTTTTTTAAACATTTATCTTTGTAGCACTTGATCTCGGTTTAGGAAGCATACTTTTAGGATCTTTTTGAAGACATTTCGAACTACTGTGCATCGATTTCAGTGACAAGGAATTCTTTTCAAAAATATATGCATGCCAGGAAGGAAATGTCCTTGAAAGCTAATTAGTAAAAGGTTTCACTCCTTTAAATAAATAAAATGATTATTTTGAGTATTGAAATATTGGAATATTTTAGTAGTTTCTGCTACTGTCTAGTGTTTTTATGGTTCTTCAACATATTATATTGAAATCGAATTTTTTAAATATTGGTATTTTTTAAATAAATAAATCTACTGCTAGAAAGTTAAATTTTCTATTGCAGCACTGAGCTGGTGTTACTTACCTGGTCAAACATTGTGGAGCGCCCCAAGATCTCTCGATCGACTTGGGAGCCTCTTGGGTAGCCAGACGACCAGCTTCCGGCTGGCCAAGTCAGGTGAACTGGGCTCAGATCGGCTGAGGTGGGCACGTCATTGTCACGTTTCGTTTGTCTGCGACTCGACGGCCAGCAATATATGCAATTAAGCAATTAAGTCGGGACCGGGCTCAATTGTCACTTAGACTAATGCATATGCAATGGGCCCATAAAACGAAGTCAAATACCGATCCGAGCGACTTGATTTCCAGCTGCCCAGATGCCCGGACACGCCCCTCCCTTTTGGCAGCCCAGCTAAACGATCTTGAACTAAGCAATTGAACTCGACGAATACTAGAAATATGGATACATAGTTTCGCAGGGCGAACTTCGCAGATTTGCAATGACGCAGTTCGCTTGGTGCGCACATTTTTCCAGCAACTGTACCATGGGTATTCCATATCGTTGTGAACAAATCAATCAATTTGCCGGCGTACTGGTATCGATTTAAATGAAAACTGCCCCCAGTCGGTGAATTGATTGATTATATGTGGAGCTGGGAGGAAAAATGGGTTATGATTTCTGCGCCTGGTACACTTTATTTCTACCACTGTGCCTAGGCCGAGCCCTCTAAAATAAAATTTTCCATTGCTCGTAATTGTTTATTGACTTGATTGACTTTAACTTGCCACACAGACTTTTATTACGGGCAGGGAAATCAAATCGTTGGTGTGTATGCAAATTAATCGTACCGCAACCGTTCTATTGACTGTAACATTCGAGCTTCAAACTTACGCAATCTGGGGCGCCTCAAAAAAAGGCAAAACCAAGATCAAGTTTGTGACGCCCGCGTTTCACTCGTTTTTCTCGAAAAACACCTGTGTCAATGTACGTGCGACACCGTAGGCGTAAAAGGTGAAATCCAAGCGGTAGGTTCCCGCGGGCACTGGCATGCTGATCTTTGTGAAATTCAGGGCGAACTTCTCCACCGTCATGTGATTCTGGAACAATATGGAGTTATACAGGGCACGAATCAAAGGGCAGCCAAGTGAATTCTATTTATATACAATTCAGGAACTATTTAAAAATAACTCAGTTCTGCAATGAAAGCCAGATCAAATCTGAACATCAAGCCATTAACATTTTGGACTGAACTTCAATAAAATGATGTATATAGTTTACTGCAGAACCTCTAATTGTTTGGCTTATACTTACCTCCTTCCAAGGACAGGTTTGATTAAAGTTACTCTGCTTGCGAATCGCATCGAAAATGAATCGTTCGAAGGAGAGGCCATAATTAGTTCTGGCCATCAGCTTGCAGAAATCAAAGAGTATATTGTACATGAAGGGTCGATAGCCATCACGCCGTTGAAAGCACTGCAATCTGGTGGTCAGATTCCGGATGGGAACCTGGAGCAGGCTGACCTTCAGAGAGAGTTCCACCTCGTTCCTGCGAACCACCTTCAAGCGACAGTATTCATATTTGGTGAAACCACGAGATGTCGGCAGATCCATGCACTTGACGTTGGTGAACTTCAGGAGCCGAGTGCCCTAAAGGATAACTTGAATATAATTTAAAGAAATATTAAAGAAAAACATCATACCATTGAATCCTGCAGCAAAACAGACAGAAATAGAAGATATAATAGAACAATCGACGGCATTTGGAATGCGTGAAACAATGACTCAGGTCAATCAAAAATGGTCGAGTTTGCAACTCAATAAATTTTGGATAAAACAGTAATTATATCCAGATTTATAAACAATTAAAATATCGTTTACCAAATACAACGCCATTTCTGGCAACTGGTATGGGAACTCAAATCCCACTAGTTCAAAGACCCAGGAAAAAAGCAGTCAAGCATTTTTTTGTGGACAAAACGTATTTAGGCCCCGATTAGAGCCATAGTTCATGACCATTGGCTATTGACTTCTACTTCAATTACACCAAATCATTAAATTCTTGGAAGTATGTTAACAATTTCCTGTTCTTGTGATCGTTTTTCGCTTACCCAAAAGTGCTAAATCCAGGGGAAATTGTAAAGCGATTTTCACACCAAAAAAAAAAACAAAAAAAACATTATTCCTTGACTCACGCTGGGTGTACAATTCGCTTGTTCTTTTTTTTTCTTCGCTGGTTATACCTTTATTTGTTGGTTTCTTGTTTTCTTTTCCATATTTCTACGGGTCAGCGAAATTCTCCGATGCAACGCCAGCCAAAGCGGCGTATACGTGATGCCTCAAAAGCCATTCGGTGACGACGCATTTACCTTAGCTGCTTGTTCTGTTGATTGTCGTTTTCGAAGGTGTATTGTAAATTTCTGCCGACGCGATCGTATTTCGAAATGTCAACACCAACACCTGCAGTAGGTAATTCAAGCAGCTCAGGTGATGCCAGCTACACGGCAAGAAAAATAGGTCATGTTGGGCTGGTCGAAAGACCACATAAATATGATATCCCATTGAAGCTTTTGTGCTCCAAACTTTTCAATCTTTTCAATTCTATTTTTTGTATTTCGAAGCAGCATTCATTTCTGGCGCAAGCCAATTTTCAAAATCAAGTACGTTTTGAAAACTCTCACATTTTTCCCGCAGTACTTATGATGAGCCACTGATTGAACCATTTTTGCATGGACTTGTCGAATTTCGGCGGTGATTCTGAGAAAATTTTTTTTAGAGCCAGTGAAAACCGACGCGTTCCCAATTCGGGCCGCCCAGTACAGTGACCTCTCCCACGAACAACAACCGAAATAACTGAAACGAAATGCCAATTTGTGATTTACTTTGCACTTATTTTTTATGTACCACCTCTTGTTGAATGAACATTTTTGCCGATTTTGGTGTGAATATTTTCTGAATGAAGGCACTTCCGCTGGCGAAGAACATTCATATCGAATAACTGCAATCGGAGGACATTGTCAATAGCTTTTGGCCATAATCAATTCACGGGAAATCGCGCTGGTGTCAAAGATTCATTTGCGTCACGGAGTCAGGGATTTGAAACGGTTGCCATTTTAAGCTAATTGTGACTCAAAGTCGCCTGTGACGCGTTTTCCGAAGAGCACTTGCGGATCACTTAATGCACTTTTCTACAGTTCTATTTTCGAACTGTCTTACGAGTCACTTGACCTTTTCACCCCGTCCGGTTGATTCAATTAAGTCGATATCTGTAAAACCTACACAGGGTGTAACTACGAATGTCCACCTGGTGATTCACCAATCAATTCAAAAAGTTTATAACACCAAATATGCGAAATTCTAATAAAGATGCTGTCCTATTTATTAAATGTAAAAATCAAATTAACATATACGAAGCATTTAACTGGTTTAGTAAGAGGATAACTCTATTTGATTGCCCTTTGAATAATTGAAATACCTATTTCCCCATTTAAACTGATCTTGTGTGGCAGCTGTTCAGTTGTTTTAATATTCCTATTATTTTTCCAGATTCCTGCCTTCGCTGCCAGGCGGACAACAAGCGGGATGTGATGGGTCGCCAGGACTGCGTGGTGGTTTGGGGCGAGTGCAACCACTCCTTCCACCACTGCTGCATGTCGCTGTGGGTCAAGCAGAACAACCGATGCCCGTTGTGCCAGCAGGAGTGGTCCATCCAGCGCATGGGAAAATGAATATCTCCACCTGATATTACTTTATGCTGTATTTTAAAACAATTATAAATAAAAAATTTAAAATGTATATATACGGGACAGAAGTCACAGAGCATTGTACCTAGAATGATCCATTCCAGAACAAATGAGTCCCTGCTCAAAATTATTAAAAATTAAAAAGGAAGAAAAACAAAAAAGATTACATGCCCCGGGTGAGGCTCGAACTCACGACCTTAAGATTATGAGACTTACGCGCTGCCAACTGCGCCACCGAGGCTATGTTTGACGTCCGGCTAGCGAGAACTTGAACCCTCAAATGTTCTACATCGAGAACAAAAGTTGTTCTTAACAGTAAAACAAGGCATCAATGGATTATTTATTGTACGTGTTGAATAATAAGAGAGGAGTTAATGATGTTTTATCCGTTTTACAATTGCTAAAACTCCCCTTAGCTTCTATGAGTCATTGGAAAGCCGTCCACCACCTGTCCCTTTGGCGCAGAGGATAGCGCGTTGGACTTCTAATCCAAAGGTCGCGGGTTCGATCCCCGCAAGGGATGAAACGATTAGTTCGAGTAAACTTTTTGGCGTATCTTTCCTTTTTTCTTTAATGATAACAACTTTCTAATTTTGATAACAATTCACGTTATGTCTCTAGGTCTTGGGCTGCAGCGACGGGGAAAGGTTGCGTTCGAGTACTGGACTGCTAAGTCGTAATTTCTCCACATTAGCGGCATCTGTATTCAAACTTTCTTCTGTCAACCGTTTAGCGCGTAATTCTTGTATGGATGCTGTTGTAGGTTTAAGAGATTTAGGTTTATTTTGCTGCAAAATTCCATTTCGCAATTCGAAAACTCACGACTGTATGGAGTATATTTGTCAGATATCCAACTCTCGATATTATAGCCAATGAAACCCACAACGCCGGCTATTGGTAACGTGATGTAAACGGCGTTACGCCTTACTAGAGCCATTACAATTGGCCACATCCTGATTAAAATTCTTGTTTTCGCTAAAATTCAAGCAATAGAGCAAGAAAAACACGAAATAAGCGGCGTGCAGAATTATAAAATCAGGTGAACAGCTGATAGAGCTGCCAGACTGGTGAGAATATGTGGCGAACCAGTTCACTAAGCAGTTCCCATTGACATATTGGTACTCTCGTGGAAAGGAATAGTTATTCTCTGCCGAACTTGTATTAAAACGAAGAAGGGATGTTTTTAAATGGTAGATACTTTTTTCTTACATTTCAAACTGCTTTGTATTGAAGAAGTTCAAAATCAACAATTCAGTCACACTAACGGCTGATTGCGCTGACATCTGTGTAATTTTTTGCTTGCCTCGAACGGTCACACACAATTTTTTTTGTGTTTTTGTGCTCTCTCCTTTCGTCGGTAGTGCAATATTGCAATACAAATTACATAAAAACGGGAAAAAAGCAGGCAAAACTAGAAGATCGCGGTGAACGGGCAAGCGAGTACTTGCACAAAGGCAACGGCGAAAAAGATGCAAGAACGGGAAAAACGTATTTACGCATTACGCAGCGAGTCGTTGTTTTACCGTTGTTTTTTGTTTTTATAATGCCAATATCGGGGTAGCTGCACCAAATGCAGTTTACTGAGATCTCTTGTGATGTAGGCAAAACATAATCATAATAACTGCAAGCATCAATAACAAAAACACCGATATCATTACTCTCTTCGCAATAATAATACCAGCAACAACGTCGATTGAGTGCAATCAACAATTACAACGCAATCAGAACAAAGAACTACCAGCAGCAGCGAAAACAACAACAAACAAACAAACGGTGGACAGTGCTGAGAACGAGAAGGAGGAAGAGGAAGAAGAACAACAATAGCAGAAGACGACGCATAATTTCCTACTCGCTCGCACACACAGCCACATACAAGTTGGCTTGCACAAGGAGAGCGAAACAACAAAGAAGATCGAAGAGCGTGGGAGAGGCAGAACCGAGGAGCGAGCGAAAGGGAAAGGAAACGGATAAAGAGTGGGAGAGCAACTGCATTTCTGGATTCGGATCTGGATCTCTGGATATATCCACACGTAAAATGACCAATTCGGGACGCAATCATCACCGATTCGATGTAAGTAATCCAGCAGGTTTACGATCCGATCGTTAAAACTTGCATTTCTGTTGGTTTTGGGGTATCTCCCCAAGATCTCGACAGATTTTTCTATATTTATACCATATTTATATCTATGTATATTTGGTATACATATAATATTGTATTCTAAACATCGCAATCTTAGCTTTGTTATGGCTAATAAAGTAATTATACATATGTATAACGTTTTTTTCGCTACTCGCTTAATTCTTATAGCTTTTTATAGCACTTTTACCGTATTTTGTATAGTCTGTTGGAAATTTTAATATGGTATTGTTAAAACAAATAGGCGACTTCGTATCTTTAGGTTTGCTTCTTCCTTCTCTTTGGTTCCTTTGTGACGCTCTATACAACAACTTCTGTAGGGGGTTTTTGACCTCCCTCATTTCACAGTTCATTTCCTTGTTTAGTTTTAATTCGTTTGCGTCGAAAACCTGGAATCTCAATGGACTTTCAAGTGGACGATAAGAAATCAGCAAAGAGCAATTAAAAATGATTCTTCCTTCATATCTCATGCATAGGGCATTGAGAAATTATTTAGTTCGTTTTAAAATAAAACTCCCTAGATGATAGCTTGTTATGTAATTTACATGACGATTGTTTTGTATTTAAATACCCAAATTATCTGACTCCAGAGCGAATGTGTTTCTAAAGGTTTTGTATTCCCCCAAATGCTGACTTCATAGATATTTCTAATTAAAAAAGCAAGCGAGGAAGTGAAGGAATATTATTTGGCTATGTTGGCTGGTCAGGGGGTTTCCTTTCCTGATTTTTGCGAGCTCAAGCCGCACTGTTGCTCCTTCGTTTGTTTGCCCGTCCAGACAGTTAGTCAGTCAGTTCAGTTTCCCCGGCTGCCGCAAAGCCACCAATAAAATAGACTGCATCTCGTTTATTTTTATGGCAAGTCGGGTTCTTTGTCCTTCGTTTGAAGTCAGGAATAAGGAATATGGAGAGGAAGAACCCAGGAGTCATCGCCTTTGTCGGTGCTCAGCCTTTAAAAGTGTAAGTGGCTAATGTCTCACCCTCCCTCAAAAGTTATATGTACGTTTGTCTTGCGACAAAAGTGCAATAAACTCGCTGACAACACACCCCCAGTACTAGCACCCCCCAAAAACCCCTCTGCCACCAATGACGAGTAATGACCAGTTGCGAAGTGAGGTCTTCTGACAAATTGGAAATTCTTTCGCCAAGTGCAGTGCAAAGTAAATAAGCAAACAGAAAAGAAGCTCATAAGCGGAATTTACCAATTTGTTGCACACTAAAAGATATAGTTTGCTCATACCCAAGGTTTAAAGTGAACTTATTGCAACGTGGGTGTCTAAATTTAAGGATTTATTTTCAGTATTTCTTTCAAATTTCTTTCTGTGGAAAAATCTTAATTGCTGAGAAAGAAGAAGAAGAAGCGAAAATGGAAACGAAGACTCATTTTAATTGCGTACTCCTATGCTTTAATCAAACCAAATTGCTTATTTATTTTGGGGCTTACTGACTGTCCATTCTTGGTATTCGGCATTAAGTACTTTACTTATCTAGAACCAAACCCCCCAATAGCCAATAACAAACGAAAGTAAACAGATTGCCCGATAAACAGCTGACGAGCATTGCCACAAAGTCTGGCAGCATTGCAACCCTTGCAGATTTTTGAAATCGTTGAGAATGGGGAGGAATCCAAGGAAATGAGAGTCAGTCTCGTGGGATTTATAGTTTCGATTGGGAATGCCAATACCCTATAAACAGACGAATGCCATTTGGTTGCTCTCCGATTATCTCTCTTAGAGCTCGAAGAGTTTCAGTCGATTTGAAATTGAAGTCAATATATTTGCATAATGATAAACAAATAGTTTATAATTTATATCGTAAAACACATATATACATATATTATTAAAATAAATTGTGAAAGAAACTTATTTCCAACATATATTTAACTTAGATGTAATCATATAATATGATTTTCCTAAACAATTCATTCTGGTAAATCTGCCTAAATATTATATTCTAGATTGTATGATCTTTTTATTTTAGTGTCTTGTTTGAAGAAACTATTATTTTTGTTGGGTCCTTTGTTTATTCTCGCATGGGTTTTGGTCGCTTTTCGGTTGACCCTGGCTTAAGGTTCAAGTAGATGGGCAAGGGCATCTGAAGTTCTTTGCTTTTGCCTACCCACTTGCACTCTCTTTCGCCCGAAGACTCGCTCTCATTGAGATACTTTAGCTGGCTTTTATTGTTGTTGTTGTTGTTGGCCTTTGTGTGGGTGCATTGCCCCGCCCCCTCGTTGCACTTTCCCGACCGAAACAAAGAGAGAGCGAGGGAGAGAGAGAGAGAGTGCGGTGGGACAGCTGTTTGCGGAGCTTCGGTCGCGATGCGTTCTCGATTCTCCACTCAGTTCTCATTCGGCGCTCTGTTGTCATCGATGTTGTCTCGCGAAAAGTGCAGCTCTCGTTTGCTTTTCGTGTCTCGCGTTTCTGCATTTACACGGTTTTTCCTCGCAGCTGAGGAAAAATCGAAAGAAAATCTATTTCACGCAAGCCCAGCTGAAAATATAAACAAATGGTAGGGTGAATTGTGTGCAAAATTTGCTGGCGAAGTTACTGAAAGTGTGTTTTGTGATGTGCACACATTGCTATTCCAGTTGTTTTGGAGTTTTCCGCCTGGGTTTTCCCCACCAGCATGGCATCAGCTGTTTTTTGGTGTTTTGTGTGTATATTGTGTGTCAGCTTTAGAGTTTTCTTTTTAAACCTTTTTAAAACCCGCCCTGTGTTGTGCTTAGCCCTTATGAATTCTATATTTATCGACAAAGAAAAATACATATTGAGTGCAACCCGATTTGGATGCTGACCCAGTTTTCGCTATGCGCTGACCTTGCCTACATGCATGTACATATGTATATAGCTTGTACACTATGTACCGTGAAGATATAGAACGGAAGCACGCTTGTCTGTCAGCGCTATCAACTCTCAACTTTTTGTGGGCCAGCTGACCCGGCCATGGCTTATATAAAATGCAGCCCAGATTTGTTGTCATGTGGGGGCTCCCCATACATATACATAACAAACGATACAGACACGAACAGATATTATAGATGCATTATTCCTCTTCATTCTGTTTCTTTTTTTTTGTTTTCCAAGTGACCTCGGAAAGTAAATGCCCGACTGGGAATTTTTAATTTGTTTACTTTTTTCCACACGCACCAACCGCCCACTTTTGCAGCCCGTTTTTTTGCTCTTCTTTTTCACGTCAGCTGTTTCGGCTTGTGTTACGTATACGCCATGTGTTGCATGATCAAATAAACAATAAACTATGCAAAACGCAGCAATCAAGCGAAATGCCTTGCACTTGTCGCCGCCATCACTTAAAGCGAATTGAGTTGAAACTATTTGGGTTCTCAGCTGCACTTGAATTTGCATAAGTACGTGCAAAAGATATAGCGCCTTGGAACCGATACAAAACTGTGGTTGATACAATACCAGGCTACAATACCATGTAACCACATTTTCAGAGTACTCCAACCCCACAACCTTGAACTATATTTCTAAAAAAATATACTTCAAATGTATTAAAGTTTAATAAACCATGGTTTTAATCCATTGTACTGTGCACTCGAGGGATACACCTATACAAACTACCGAACAGCACGCAAATCTGAGATACAATTCTTCGCCCTGATTGAATTCAGGCCAATTAAAGTGTTTTTTGTCACAAATTGATGGCAGTTTGTCATCCTTTAATGGTCTAATTGTATGCGAGCATATGAATATTCCTATGTATTTATTTCAACTTCTAGTCTAGCCAAAGACGTGTTGCAATCAATAATTTATTGGACCTTCAATCGCCTTATTCGTATCTCATACATATGAATGCCTTTTACAATTGTGGAAACAGCAATTTTATAACTGACTTGTATTGTGTTCATAGCGCTTCTGTAATTGTTGTTCCACTTACAGTACTTCTGACAATGAAAGGAATTTTTATTGTTAACTTAAATAGGTGTATACACTGAAGTTACTTATATTCGACCTATTTCTATACTGCTTCTTGATATACAACAACTTTCGTTTTTGAGCAACTAGGAAGTTTTGTTTTTGAACAAAATATTGTTGTTGAATGGTATATGGTATATACCTCCTCAGTCTTATAGTTACTTCTTTTGGTTATCAGTTGAAGCCAGTGTAATTGTCATTATTATTTATACCCACATTTATTTCTTGTTCGCGCTTCGCTCAAATTCGTCACACGTTCGATCGATTGCCTTTTTTAAATTGCCTTTGATGACTTTTCATTTAAGTTGAATGCCACCATGCCACCGAGTGGGCGGTGGGGCTGGAAGTGGGGATCCGGCTCCCCAAACCGCTTAAAGTTGGGTGCGCATTTCAATTAAAGCACGACCGCAACCTTGATGTCCGAAACTCTGTTTTGTGTCGAGAGTCTCGTAATAAATTCCACTGTTGTTCTATTTTTCACGTGCAAAACGACGCCGTTTTGGCTTTATTTTCGGACAAAATCAACCAGTTCCTGTTGCAGTAAGTGATTTAAAAAAATAATAAAATAAAACTGCAAAACCAAGCAGGGCCAAAAATAAGCTAAAGAGCGGCGGCGAGAAGTCAAAAAGCAAAAAAAGCAAAAAAAAAAAGCTGAAAAGCCGGGAGCAACGTATTGAAGACGCAATTTCTGAATAATTTAATCGAGCGTTCACACGGCGCCAGCTGTGAAAATAAAGAGAGAGTGCTGAAGAGTTAATTGAATCGGCAGAGGCGCAGCGCACGCTGATAAGAACCGGGTATGTTTGCCAGCACCGTCGAGACGGGCGTCATGGAGGTCGGCGGCACCAGTGCCACCAGCAGCAGCAACACCAGCAACAATGGCGGCAGCGGCAGCGGCGGTGGCAACAGCAACAGTGGCGGCGCAGGCGGCAGCATCGAGCTGCTGTGCCCGCCCAGCGGCAGCAGCAGCATCAGCGGCAGCGCCAGTTTCAGCAGCAACAGCGGTGCCAGCGGCAGCAGCAGCCAAACGCACAGCACGGCCATCAGCAGTGCCACAGATCGCAGCAACAACAATGGCAACAGCAATCACAATCCGAGCTTACAACTGAATGGTAACGGGGGCAGCAACACGAGGCAACACAGCAGCAGCAGCAGCAGCGGCAGCAACAGCAGCAGCAACATGAGCCCTCCCCCCAGCAGCAGCAACAACAATAATCACAGCAGCAACATCATTAGCGGCTTCTGCAGCACCATTTGGCGTTCGGCCACATTTGGCAGTGCCACGCCCGTGATTAACCCATTACCAGCCGTACACATTAACCCCAAGAGCATGGAGAGCAGCAGCGACAGTTGCTCATTGAGCTCCTCGACCACGCCGGATGTTTGCCTGGCTGATCAGCAAAGGAACATGGCCAGCGGCGCTCAAGAACAGACAGAGGATCAGTCCGTAAGAAAACCAATTCTGAACAAACAGATGATCACAACCAGATCAAGACAAACAAAAACACCTATCGCTACCACCTTCGAAGACATTTCTCCCACTTCAGCGGTCGTATAATATCATCTGATCCAGCATTTTGTACATATTGCTCAAGAAACCCACAATCAGAAACCCCGCTCGAATCGTTCTGTCTCTCTATATCTATCTTGCCCCATGATTCCTACATTAATTAATTTGTTTTGCTCCGGTACTCAATTCAGTTTATTGGTTTTCATGGATGTTATAATTTTGGGACCACTCGAGGAATCAGCCAGTTGATTTTGTTTAGCCATCACATCTCCGATTGCGAACTTCACAGCCATAGAAATATACATTTGTGCTGCTTTGAAATTCCATCACTCATACGTCATGTTGTGTCCGTTTCAGCAAACATTCCTAGGCGCCACCGAACTGGACGATGAGTTAATCAAACAACTGCCAAAGGAGGTACTGCTGCGCGTCTTCTCCTACCTGGATGTTGTTTCACTATGCCGCTGTGCACAGGTAAATGAACCAGGACACGTTTAAAGCGTTCCGTTTTCCGCCACTAATGAATTTTTCATGCCACAGGTATGCAAATATTGGAACGTGCTGGCCCTCGACGGTTCCAGCTGGCAGAAAATCAATCTATTCGACTTTCAACGTGATATCGAGGTAAGACATGGGGCATCTAATGCTTAGAAGCCATGTGCCTAAACTCAATGCATCCCATAGTTTATGCATTTACTAATAATACACATTGAATACAAACAGGGTCCAGTGATTGAGAATATATCGCAGCGATGTCGCGGTTTTCTCAAGTCACTGTCGCTGCGTGGCTGCCAGTCGGTGGGAGATCAGTCCGTAAGGTAAGTATCTGGTCCAAGCCAGTCTGCAGCAGAGCACATTAACAAGTAGACTGTGTATTTCAGAACTCTAGCGAACCACTGCCACAATATCGAGCACTTAGATCTGTCGGATTGCAAGAAGATAACCGATATATCCACACAGTCCATCAGCAGGTATTGCTCCAAGCTAACGGCCATTAATTTGCACTCGTGCTCCAACATAACAGACAACAGCTTGAAGTATTTATCCGATGGCTGTCCAGTAGGTTTACTTGAATAACCCATACGAAATAAGCATACTTTATTGGGCTGTTCCCGCAGAACCTCATGGAGATCAACGTGTCCTGGTGCCATTTGATCTCCGAGAACGGTGTGGAGGCGCTGGCTCGTGGCTGCGTCAAGCTGCGCAAATTCAGCAGTAAAGGTTGTAAACAAATAAACGACAATGCCATAATGTGCCTGGCCAAATACTGTCCCGATTTAATGGTGCTAAATCTACACAGCTGCGAGGTGAGTGCATTGCTATCTAATTAAATGACAATAAGGTTTTAGAATCCTTTGCCTTTCGCAGACCATAACCGATTCATCGATCCGCCAACTGGCCGCCAATTGCCACAAGCTGCAGAAGTTGTGCGTGTCCAAGTGCGCGGACCTCACCGATCTCACTCTGTTGTCCCTCTCGCAGCACAATCAGCTACTGAACACCCTGGAGGTGTCTGGGTGTCGCAACTTCACGGACATTGGCTTCCAGGCGCTGGGGCGCAACTGCAAGTATCTGGAGCGCATGGACTTGGAGGAGTGCAGTCAGATCACAGACCTTACGTTGGCTCATCTTGCCACTGGCTGCCCCAGCTTAGAGAAATTGGTAGACTTAGGAACCCTGATATCTGAACAAATATTGATTTAACCTCGTGTCTTTTCCACAGACCCTTTCGCATTGTGAGCTGATTACGGACGATGGCATTCGACACCTCACCACTGGCAGCTGTGCTGCGGAAATTCTGTCCGTGCTGGAGCTAGACAACTGCCCGCTGATAACCGATCGCACGCTAGAGCATTTGGTGTCCTGCCACAATCTGCAGCGCATCGAGTTATTCGACTGTCAGCTTATCACCCGCACCGCCATACGCAAGCTGAAGGTAAGACAAATTAAGTGCAATTTAATCGGCTTGGGAAGATATAATATGTATGCCCTCGCAGAACCATCTACCAAATATCAAGGTGCACGCCTATTTTGCCCCCGGAACGCCGCCGGCTGTGACCAGCGGCCACCGACCACGCTATTGCCGCTGCTGTGAGATTCTCTGAGATACGGCCATCGGCTTCGCCAGAAAGATAATGCGAAAGACAGCCACGGACTGATGCTGGCCCGTGTGCATCGTCATGTTCGCCATGGTGTTCAGCCTGACCCTCGTCTCGATGATCTGCATGTACTTGCTGGGCCTGCTCGACGCGGCGATGACCACATAGCCACCAGATTCAGATTGAGATCCGACCCAGCAGAAGCAGCATAGCCAACAGCAGCAGCGGCTTCATCGAAACCGAAACCTAACCCTAGTTTTAATTTAAAGCGAGTTTCAAAAACTCGCAGAAACCAGCATCAAATTGTGATTATTTTATTTAATATGCTACGTTAACTACTAGACCCTCACTTGTGTAAACTGTATTAGCACCCACACTCTATGTTTGTTATTAACTGCAGCCCGATGAATTGCTAGCTTATATAGATCTGTATATATATACATATATGTAGTCGATCCACGGCAGTTTCAGATGGTACCGCTGAATGTTCTGTGTCTAGCCTAAAAACTGCAATTATGTGCGTTTAGTTTTAACTCTCATACACGCATGCCTGTATTAAATGTTTGCTAAATTATGACTAAATTATAAATCCATCTGAGGCATGCTTCGGATTTTATCTCTCACTGGTCCCAAAAACGAAAGAAAAAAGAAAATACAGGAGTTTTCCAAATTCCGTAACATGTCGATAGAACCACAAAGCGTTCAAAACACTTACTATCCGAGATACTATTAATTTCACTTTTAGTCCACTCAAGTCTAGTGCCAGCTAAACTGTTCAGCAATTAGCATTATCTATGTATAGCCATGTATATTACACAACGAACAAACGACTCACACTGGATCATCTTTCCCAAAAAAACACATCAATAATCCAATAAATCTGTACATACACCTTTTGGGTTCACACAGATATTTATACAGACTATTTTGTAACGTATTATCTAATGAAAAATGTATAAAGGGCCACGAAAGTTATCGTTGAGCGATAAGCTCACATTCGGTCCAACACCACTAAGTAGATAATATAGGATTTTTCACCACTGAAAGGTTTCCCCTGTCCAGAAGAACTATATCCAATCCTCGAGAGATCAAACCGATCCCAAGTTGTGAGCTGGGGAATTGAATAAACAATGTCGTGACGAACGCCCCTAACCCATCACACCCACAGCAATCCCCTCGACACATACAGATAAGCACAATAAAACGCAAAACGATACCAGATGAGATATTTTCCTGATTCTCTTTATTCTGTCTTAATGTTAAGCTAAGCAAATGGTGTCATACAAACATATACCTACCATATATTTTCCTAGAAAGAAAAACCAAAAAGAAGTCAAAATCATATTTACACAAAAATACATAAAAAAAATGCAAAAAGATAAAACAAGAGTTGTAAGTTGCGTATTTTAACGGATCTTTCTGTCTGTCTCTTGTAGTGCGTTTCAACTTTGTGTTAAAACTGTTTAACAAGAAAAGAACTAAAGAATCACAACTGATATGTATTAATTAGACTTAGAGTTGAACAAAGAACACAAAAAATAAATATATATATTTGGAAAATTGCCGTAAAGTGCAATCGAGTTCCGTACCACGCAAGAAAAAACTTTTGGTTCAATAAAATTTACATCTAAAAGGAGAATTAAATATTATATACACCTCTATATATATATATGTATTATGTAAAGGCTTTACAATGCAGACTAATATATTTACATCATACTATGTACGTGTGTAGTTTTGCAAACAAAAAGTAATAACAAGTGAAATTAACAAGAATTAATCTTGCAAAACACAAAAATATGACATTTTAAACTGAGGAACGTTTAACATAAATAATATTTTAAATATCAAAAAGGGCCAGCGTGTTTTATTTATTATAACTTAAACGCAAAACAAAATATTTGGATTTCAAGTTCAGGTAGGTAACCTATATATCCAGCATTAAAATTTGTATTGCAAATAGAGTATTTGGCTGGTCAAAGTATTCACAAACTAGCTCATCCTAACTTGTTCTTTATTACATATATTAATAACTCGTATTTCCAACAAATCCGAATTCAGAAATATTCGTTTATTTATGCTGACTAAACTAATTTTGAAAAAGTTTATTTTCAACTTGCTTTCGTGTCATACAGCCCTAATAGCGCAGCGCACTGGGATTTTCACCACACCGCGATGGGGTCACACTGACCCGCCCACAGCTGGTCTGGTCTCACAGTCTCACCTCACAGTTGTTTTGTTGGGAAAAAAATAAACAATAATTTAGGTAGTGTTGTGCGCGACCCAAAAGTGGAAATTATGCGAATCTCGACAGCGAAAAGGCAACGCGATGCTGGCAATGAAAGTGTAGGCGTGAGTTTTCCGGATTTTCCAGCCTATCGGCACTCCCCGTGCACCTGTGTTGGCATTTCCGCCGATTTTTTCGCCTGTGGAGCTGCAATGGCGAATATGTTGAGAACGATCAATTCCGCTAAATAGAACGAGCAATCAAGGATAAAGAGCGGTGTGTAGCGAGAGAGGAGAGCGAAGCGAAGAGAGCGGTACGTGGGTGCAGTCGAAAATAGCGAAAAAGAACCGTTTTACCCGTCAAAGAAGAGTTCATAAATGGCGAATAAGAGTGTGAAATGCCAATGAAAGCTTGCAGTCCGTGGGTTATATAAAAAAATATATATGCAAATCAAGTGCCACGAAATGCAGGCTTGCAAAAATCGAAAATAAATCAATGATATAGACGCAAAGTCCAGGAAAAAGAAGAAGCAGCAGCAACACAGCTGAGTGCGTGTGTGTGAACGCTGATTGCTTGCAAGTGTGTTTGTGTGTGTGAGTGTGCATCGAGCAAGTGAAATCAATAATATTTGCAGCCAGAAGCAATTAATAAAAACTGCAATAATGTCAAAAAATCTAATTGAGGCAACAAATTAGCAAAGCCATTAGAGCAGGCTGCACTGCGCGAAAATTGTGCCTTTCCGCGGATCTTCTGCTGCAAAGCGAAAGAAGGTAAGTCGGCCATTTTTTTGCATTCTTCTCTGCTCACTTCTTCGCATTTGGGATTTCAAATAAAGTTCGCAAATTACCATGTACCACTTAAATACATGGGTACTTATAATAATTTATATGAATTCTACACGTAGAAGACTGCTTTGAAATGGAGCTTTTAACTGAAAACGAAGCAGACGACAACAAAGCTTACACAAAATAAAACAAAGATGTACCCACAATTAGAATTTTTGGCATAAATAAAGCAAAAACGTGTTAGATATGATGTTTTGCAGTAACCCATTATAAAAAACTTTTGGAAGCTTTTGGTTCAAGTTGTTATGGCGTTTACCAATTTTGTGCGGTTAATTTGACCTTTTCCATATTTGTTCTTAGTGTATTTGTGTGTCTCCATGTGTGCATACTTCGCTGATTAACGTTATGGGCAAAGTAAAGTAAGTGATTTCAATTCACGTTTCACTGCCTCTGGTTCAATACTTATTTTTGTCTCTTACTTCCCCTACTTTCCCCCACTCCTTCCATCTCTTAATCAGCTGTGCCATTTCTGTGTATGTGTGTGTGTGTGGGAGCGAATGAGAAAGAGAGCGCAAACAAAGAAACGGTTAGCGTCGACTTTGCTGTATCCTTGAATTCGTCGCTTTTCGCTTCGAATTGTTTCCTATTCCTTTTTTGCGCAGAAGAAACGGACAACAAAGGAAATCACATTAAAAACGGTTGACACGTTGAGTTTTCCTCCACATCCATATTGATTTAATATTTGCATTGATTTGTTTAAATGATTGCCAAAGGCGGACTGCTTGCATAAGCAATTAGCTGCTGCGATTTTGCTGCCAAGTGCGCATTGCATCCGCAAAATCTTGGCAGACAGGTTAAAGATGTTGCTCTCTAAGCGGACTAACGGTTGTCGACGCCCTGCCATTCCCCCCATTCGTTGGCGGCCATTTTAATCGTGCGAAAGGAGAAGAATGGGTACCTGTCATTCTAATAACATTAAAGCTTTTTAAGAAGTCAAAGGCATTTTCCTAGCCAATTCAATTTTAAAATTAAACTTCTAAACACAAATGCATATGTACATATGAAGTAGAATACATATGCTCTCTATTTATGAATACATACATATATAATTACAAATTGTATCTTTTTATGTACATATGTATGCATGATGACCTTTTTAGGGAGATACTTTTACCATTAACATTTTGTATTCGTTATCCGTATACATATGTACATACATATGTCTAATAGAATATCATTTCTATTGATACCATTTTTTGGGAATTAAAAAAGCAAACTCAATTATATGAGAATTATATTATAGCGAAACACTAATGTCTACACTTGAATAACATTTGAATAACAAAGATATGATTTACCCGCATATGGATAACTCCGAATGAATCACGGAATGAATTGATTTTTAACCCGGAATACAATACCCTGTATTTCACCATTCCCAGCCGCATAAGGTCGGTTCTTTTCCCATTATGTGTCAGCAAATAGACTTACTTACCCAAGGGAAGGACACAGAAAAACCCCTGCGTGTCTGGTAGTTTTTTTTATGGGTTTTCACGCTGTTAATGGAAGCCATAATGTGTGGTGTTGTAGTATACCGTATACCCTGCACTCCGCTGCCGCGCAATTCTCGTTCTGAACTTTCGACGATAAGGTGAAGTAAACCGTAGAAAAACCGCAGGCTTATCTCGCAGTCACCGAAACCCAAATTCGTTGTTTGCCTTGCTGTTTGGTAACTCCTTTCGATGTTCCATTTATTAGTAGTTAAAACGTGTATATGTACATATGGTATGTGGTTATGCGGCGGTCAGTGATAACCCGTTCCGAAATACGAAACTGGAACCCCTGATAAGGTCTATCTCAGTTCCAAGTTCCCAGTTCCCTGGGGTTATTGCATTACGATTCAGGGTCGTATATCACATTAGGTCTTGGGCTGATAACGACAGAACGTTGGCTCACTTAACTGCCCTTTGTTGGATTGCCCGCTTCTTTAAATGAGTTTCAATGAACATATCCTGGTTCTTTTTATTGGGGGGGGCATATAAACTGTGTACCACCATAAAGATATTACAAACATTGGAAATGGCACCTTATCATACAATACAATTATGTTTTACATAATAAATTAAACAGTTATTAAAGTTATTATATCATATATAAACATATTTGTTTTTGAGCTAACGTTTATAATTGGGGGTTCAAGAAACCATAAGTATCTCAAGGATAAACTTGGTATTTCATAAAACAGAATTCGAATTGCTGAGAAAACCTTTGTTTGAGACTTATGGAACCTGTTCCTGGATCTTAGAACGCTGCTATCCGCGTAATTTCTTTGCCGGACTCTCTACTACGCATTATAGGTGTTCTCGAAATTCGCACGAAGAGAATCTCGATGAGGGGGCGGGTGGAATGAGAGTGTGAGGAAGTGCGACGGAGAGCGGCAGACAGGGAGAGAGAGAGAGTGGCTAACGCTCAGTGACCCCAACTTTTCAGCCGTTGACTTTTTTCCGTTCCCGTTCCGTTGTTTTTGTTGCTGCTACCGCTCCTTTCCCCCGCTTTTGCGTTTTATTTTACGTTATTTTGTTTGTCGGGTTGAATGACTTTGGAACAACAACAAGAATAGCAAACACAACGTGTGCCAGCTAGCAAATAAAGAAAAAACAAGAGAAATTAAAAGTAACAACATTTTTTGGGGGTACTCGTCTTTCTCTCTCTCTCTTTTTCTCTCTCTTGCGAAAAAACAACAGAGAGAGAGATGTAAAGCCAACGAACCCACCAAAATTTTCAACAGCTGATTGGTTTGGGAGGTAGAAATCGAGAGGTTTTTAGGGGGATGGCATGTGGGGATATATGTACGTCTCGTCTGGAAAATGCTCCTCACCCTTTCGAGTTTTGTTGATTTACTTTGTGTTTAGAATAACTCGCTGATCCGAGGGTTGTTACAGTAGGGTAAGGGGGGAGGTGTGGAGGTTCTAACAACAAATTTTGGTTTTGATTGATATTCATGCAATGGCTTTGATGGAATTTGCATTTCTTTCAATTCGCCACTTTATCGCTTGAATCAAAGCAAACAGAAAATATAAAAACAAATCGAAATCCATGTTCCATATGAGTTCTCTAAGTAGCCAACAAAAGCATTTTGTTTAGACTTTTGTTTGTCTTTTTGCTTAGGCGAATTTACAAAAATAAACATCATGTAGTCATCACATGATTTTGGGATTGATGACGATGCTGGTGGAGCAACGGGGTCTTCTTAAGTAGTTCCCAATTTTATTAATAATTTCATTCCCTTTAGGCAAGTATAAATGCTATACCTACTTGCGTCATGGCAACCAAATACATAGCTATTCCAAAATTTTAAGGTGTATAAAACAATGATAAATCATACAAATGATGCTTGTACCCATTTATTGAATAAATTAAGCTGGAAGTATGGTGAAATAAATCTTATTTGTTTAGTAATTGGGTGTTATGTAGATATATGTATGTATTATAATCTGGACAAGGCAATTTACTATTACTAACTTGATTTGATAGTCTTCAATTATTCAAGGACCCACCCAATCCAAATGTCTGGCTGTCAACTGAGGCAGATAACCAAAAACGCTGGGTCATTGGCCGTCTATATAT